CATTTAAAAAAGATAATTTAGATACTATAACGTATATTTTTAGAAAATCAACGAATTCTAGTCATTTTTTAATCTTTATGAAAGGAACAAAAATTATATTAAAGTGGAACTGAATGAATAATATTTTATAATAAATGATGCCTAATCCAAATGGCAAGACATGCCTCGTTTGGTTTGAGTTCAACTATTTTTTGGAAAGTTCAATTTCTAAAAAGTAAAGTTTTTGGGAAGTTACTTCCTATGAAGTACTTTGTGCTAATGTTTGGTTGATACGAAAATTACATATGAAATGTGAGCAATACCCTACTATGAATTTAATGTGAGCAATACCCTACCATAAATTTGAGTATATTAATTGGATAATTCATTGAGAATACCTATGAAACAAGAACAAAGTAGAGTTTTTTAATTCTTAGAGCTGAGAAAATGCATTTTCTTAGATTGAGAAGTAACTTACTTTCCGTTCGGTTAAGGAAGAAAGAGTTTTAAATTTTTAGAATTTTTATATTTTTTAGAACCAGAAAACACGATATTTTTCACTTTTTTGATAATTTCAACTTTCCTAGCAAAATTACCCCAACCAAATGAGTCCTAAAACTCTGCTAGTTGAATTTTAAAACCGTTAGATTAAACTGCTTGCTATCATATAAATAATTTTGACCTAACGGGTTCAATAAGAATTAAATGAATGTAGCTAGCAAGATAACATAATTTCCCAAGCAGAACTCCCATGTTCTCTCACTGACACTCTTCTCCTATTCTGCTGAAATTCCTTAATATTCTATTGTATTAAATTACGTTTTACATTCCCTTTCTCTCCAAAATGTGTCAAAAATAATACGAACCACATTGTGGTCCGTACATCCTAGCCAAAATATATGGAGGACTGATATTATTATTCTGCTCTTTGGCCGCTCAGAACCTAAAAACAAATAAACAAAATTATTAGGTCTCTGTAAACATATACATATAGGGAGGTCCCAATTGATTGCAGGTCCATGAAATGAATATTAAAACTTAATTACCAATAGGAATTGGGAAATGTGTCTCTTTCTTATATTTATTTTGTGCAATATATGCTTAGGAAAGCTACCCCTTTTTTAACCTATAGACTATATTTTATGATACAAATTAGTTGATTGGAGAAAATGGATTTGGGAATTGGTGACTTTATCCCCCATTTCACATGGCTACAGGTGCTGTTTCTATAATTTCCATGTGGAATTGAATTCCCATTTCCCCTCCAAAATTTTCCCACCCTCCTTTCCATTTTTATATCCTAATAATCCAAATTTCATTGAAAACCCTTTTGAGAAAAGAGTGATTAGTGTCAAAATCAATTATCTTTTTTTATAAAAATGAATTGGGTAGGGTATTAAAGTTCAAATTCATACCCATTTTTTGTAACCTTAAATAGAATATTTCCAATTTCCCTTCCATGATTACTTTCATTTTCATTATAATCCAATAAACAGAAGAAGAAGAAGGTCTTAAAATTCTACACAAGAAAGGAAAAGTTGTTGAAGAGATGAGATTAGAGTCGGCATATTTGTCATGTAATAGCAAGAGCAAGCGGTGCTTTTTACCTTTGTACAATCAGAATCTAACGACAGTTTCTAAGTCTCGTGTCAGTTAGATTAGATGGAATATGTGTCAACCACAAAACACACAATAGTCAAATTCACCATTATCTAAAAGCACATTTCTCCTTGTCATGCACATGTATACTGCCTTCGTGTTATCTCTTTTTCCTTCTTTTTAAAGTAAAAATCAAACAAAAAGGAGAATGGATGATTTAGAACTGCACATGACTTGACATACATTTGCATGTTTTTGTGCTAGATCTTGCCCCTTAATAAATACTCTAATTGAACATCTAATTATATATTATCATAAACAAAACTAATTTTATTTATATCATTTGGATAAATATGCATGATTTATTTAATATCATTTGGATCAATTATGTATATTAAGGTTTACATTTTCCAATCACTTATGTAATGGAGAAGAATTTTTTATACTTTACATTTTGGTAAGGTTTCCCAAATAATCCTCTGCCTGTACATTTCCAACCTCCAAGTAATTTAGTAGGTGCTTGATAGCTAGATCTATACTCAAACAACTTCTTGTTCCCTTAGCATATATAGCATCTAATTTAATATTAAATTTAAATCCTAATATTTTTCTTTAAATGAAAAAACATATTTTATTTATATGGTGACACCTAAAACAATTGATAATGCACAAATCAATTAATTTTTTTTTATACCATCTTAGCTTAGGATTGTAGATTAGGGCATTATTTTTGAAGTTTGGATTGTTTATATGTATATATATTATTAAGAAGTTTCATTAATTCTTCACAGACCCTAGCTAGATTAAGGTTTTATTTTGGTTTATCTATAGACCTTAGCTTAGGGAATATATAATTTTAGGCATCTACATTATTATTATCATTGCTCATGATATATATATAGTTGATTTGCTTTTGTAGAGTCTATATTAGGAATTAGGGATTATATATACTTTTTGTTCATATCCTCCTTAATTAGAGCTTAAATAATTATTTTCTTTTTCATTTGAAAATCTTTAATAGGCCAAAGAAAACAGGACAAAAAAAAAAAAAAAAGTGATAACGGTCACTTAGTCCTTAGCTTTTGCAGGATTTATGAAAAATGTAGATTATTAGTTGGGAAGTGGGAAGTGAAGCTAAACTGCCAAAAGTAGTGGGCTTTATGATGGAGCATGCTCACTTCACATGGCTTCCTATTCCTTAACTCTCTTTGCTTTTACTGCTCTCTTGAACAAAGTAAATATTGGCTTCGTCCAAGGAAGCAAATAACATGGGAGCCACAGTAAGTAACAAATTGCTAAGATTAATTAATAATAAAAACTTTATTAGCTAGTAATTAAGAATTTTTTTAAGTCTTTCAATGAGATCAATCGATTCATGTAATCATATGACGCAATGCTTTTTAATTAATTTCCGGGTTATTGAACAGTGGTCCTTCGTTTTGGTACAATGAATTGAGTATTACCTAAGTTAATTAAAACTTGACAGTATTTTTTTCTTTTAGGACAAAGCTAAACAACCTTATTAAATTGCTTAGTTGTAGTCTATTTTTCATTATTTATTTTTTATTTTCATTTCATCTAGCAGAATAAATTGGCTCATTTTATAGTTGCAACGTGAAATAATACATACTACAATCTATTCGAAAACATTTATTACAACTGTTAACGGATACTAATTTTACCATATGGGCCATTATAGTCAACCAAATCAGCCTTTTACATTCATTTGCTGCATATATCCTGACTTCTTTTTAAATCACAATGTAAAGGTAAAAGCACCATTTCATTTAGGTATTGTTACCTTTTACAGTAAAGGTTTTTTTTCCCCCTTTTTTTTTTCCAGAAGTAGGCAGTAAAAGATCATTGTTTTGATATATTTTAGAATTGATTCAATTGGTGAAATCCTGTCTCTCTCTCTCTCTTTTTAGAATTTTATTCTAAGTTTTCACCTTCTAAGAATGACTTTTAAATACAGATGCCAAATTGGAAAGTATAATTTAAAAACACTAAAAAGCATGGGCTGCCAAATTTATCCCTCTAGGATGTGAATGGGTTAATAAAGATGATCCACTTGTCTGAGCTTGGATTGGGCTATTACATCCAGCCTAGTGAATATGAGCTTGGAGCCCAAAATATAACAAATCTGAATGGAAACTTTTTAACACATGGGCTGGACCATATAGGAGGAGTGAGATCATATGTACCCAGAAAGGTCAAAAGTTAATAAAGAGAAGGATAATGACAAATCGATAAGCAGCTATCGAAATCAAAATTGCAGAATTGAGAATCCCCCTCAGAAAGTTGTAAAGTGAAGATAAGGGTTGCATATATCCTTGTGATGTCACTTTGCATACCCAAAACATAAGTGCAAAGGTCGTTTTTGTTGGCGGAAACCCTCTTTATTTATATGGTGACATAAAAATTTGTTCAATCAAGATGAATTATTCAGAGAGTATTTTTAAACAAAATTAATTCCTGGCTTATTAATTTTTTTTCACTAAAATAAGTGATTGGATTGTTAATTTGGAATATATCCCCTGTTAGTAAAATGAAGTATTGTATTAAAACAAAAGAGTAACTATCATTGAAAACACACCTCCATTCCAATTTACCGATTCCATAATTAAAATTATTGATTCGTTTATTATTTATTTATTTGATTATATTTAAATATACTAATTAATACTTTCTATTTTATTATCATCGATTCTATATTCGTTATATAACTTAATCATTATATTAAATTCACCAATTAGTCATAAAGATTAAATAAAATCAAAGAACTGTATAATTAAAATTTTAAAATACGAGTTTTAACTAGTGTATTTTTGAAAATAATCGAAAATCAAATAATAATTCACTTTTTTATACTAGTTTATTATAATATGTAATTTTTCTGAAAAAAGATGGGTAATTATTTGGGACAACAAAGAAAATTAAATAATTTGCCAAGGAAATCTTTTCCACATGATGTATCCTTCTTCGTCCCATAAACTCCATTTGAATGAAATTTAAGTGTGTAAAATATTGTTGTACTGTATTGCCTAATTAAGAAACAAAGTTATGAAGAAAATAAATGGTCCGATGGAAATGCCAATGGGTGCCGATTATGTGATGATACCAAACCTCCAAAAAAAAAATGTAGTTACAGTTACATCACATTAGCTAATCAATAATTAAAAAAAAAAAAAAAAGATTTAAGTTACCATCAAAGGGAACAACATCCATGGAAAAAAATTTTGATATAACTTGAAGAGAGAGCACAAACAGCCAATATGTGTAAAGATGTGGTCATGACTCATCGCTCATGAACACAACAAAGCTCTGTCCTGTTCGGCTGTTCCTTTGCAATTCTCACTTCCAGGTCGGCCCTCTTAATATTGTATCTTTCTTTAAATATTAGCTTTTCATATTCAACTTATAATGCTTATCCGAAAAGTATTATGGTTTTTTGTTTTAATATAATTACCAGCAACTGTTAATCTTAAGATTTTAAATTGTGGGTTGGTGTCATTTTCGTATTTCATTTTCAAAAGTTTTAGTTTATTAACTGTGTTTTACGAGGAGAGCTAAGATATTGGTGAAAAGATTCGTGTTTGTGTAGCAATCTACCTGTGTGGTTTTTCTGATTTTGATTTCAATTACAAAGAAATGGGTTGATGTCGAAGGACTGGTTTTAGCCTTTAAAAATGGAAGGTTCATTTTAGGAGATTAAAATTTAAAATATTTATATGATAAGATCAAAAAAAAGAAAAAAAAAAAAAGAAAAAGAAAAATCCTAAATGGGTTAGTTTTCTTTCTGGGATTTTCACTTTTCAAGATCTGCAAATGCTACTAACCTCTTTCTGGATGTGATCCTGGGTTTCTTTGATCTGCTGCAAGAGAGTTAATCTTTCAGTATTATTAATGTTCAATCCTTTTAGTAGTTAATATGGCTTTTATCTTTATGTCTAACTGTTAATCTTCTTTTTAATTGTATGCTTGATCAGGTTTAATTAAGAGAGTCTTGAATAATGAAGTTTCAAGAAGGGGATTCAGTGGAAGTTTTGAGAAGGGAACAAGAGCTATGTGGGTCCTGGTTTTCTGGTATTATAATTGCAGTTAGTGGTGATTATTATGTGATTAGGTATGATTTACTTACAGATTGCGAGGGAGAGCCTGTGATAGAGAAGGTGCATAAGGAGGATCTTAGGCCTTGGCCTACTATTAAAAGAAGAAAAAGATGGGTTGTTGGTGATGTAGCTGAGGCGTTTGATATTAAGTCCTGGAGAGTTGGGAAAATTGTGAAGGTTTTGAAGAACAATATGTTTGTTGTAAGATTGTTTGGATCCATTCAACTCAAAGAATTTCATGACTCTAATCTACGGATATGGCAGGCTTGGCTTAAAAATAATCGGTCGGTGACAGGCAAGGTAATACAGTTTTTTGCTTATGCTTTTCTTTTTTCTTTTTTTTCCTGCAAAATAGGAGAGCAAAGTTCAAGAGACTACAAGCAAAGTCTAGAATAGCTTACTCCATTGGCATCATAGATTAACCATGAAGACATAACTTGAAGGTTTTTGCTTATGCTTTATTTTATTCTTCATTTAGGCGTATTTGGTCCAAGAAGATATTTTACTAATATTTTCTTTATATTTAAAAGGTGCTATTTGTATAGACTTCAGTTTGCTTATTGCATTTTTATTAGTCATTGTGTATTTTGTGAAAGTTTTCTTTAACAATCCTTTTGCTTGCCTTCTCTGGTTTTTTCTTTCTGATCAACTGAAACAAAATCTTACTGATTCCTTGGATATGAGCTTCTCTGATATCTGTGTAACTTTCTCTACAGGTTGATAAAGAATCTACTAAAAATTTTAAGCGAAATAAGTCAAAACCGTCTAAAAGATCGGTTTGCATTTCCCCATCAGATATTGTAGGCAAAGGTTCATGCTTGAGAAACAGAAATAGACAGAGATACAGTAAGGATGGGCAAAATAATGTCAAAAAAAGTCTCCCAGCAAGAAAGATCTTAAATAGAAGCAACGCAGATTGTCTTGAAAGATCTTCCAAGGACCTACGTTCTTGCACAAGAGGATTTCACAGTCCTTTCTTTACGTGGGTTAATGAGATTTCTCCTCAAGAAGTAAGAGCAGATAACAAATTTGATGAGGAAGATAGAGATATAAATGCTGATATAGCCAAAGCAACTAACGATGAGCTATATAATTCTTCCAGGCCTTTTACAACTAAAGATATTGACCAATGTTCGGTTGCTAGTTGCAGTTCAAATGATTTTGCTCTTTCTTCTAGTCATAATTGCAATAAAGCATTGGAAAATGTATCTGATACCTCGGATGCAGAATCATCGTTTCCTTCATCTTCTGTCAATGAACGTTTAACCCCATATTTTGAACAGAAGTTTGAGGCTGACATACATGAACTTGAGTTTCATGCTTACAGATCAACTGTGCAGGCATTGTATGCTTCTGGTCCTTTGAGTTGGGAACAAGAGTCACTTTTAACAAATCTTCGACTTTCTCTTAACATTTCAGACGAGGAACATCTACTTCAGCTGAGGCACCTATTATCTACTCGAGTTGTGCAATAATCTTATGACTTGGAGATTATGGGTTCGAGTTATGGAAACTGTCTACATAAAAAGGAAAAGGCTGCATACATCAACCCTCCGGAGACCGAAACGTAGGATGGTTCGCAGTAGGTGACTCATTTTAGGTTCAATGAAAGGCAACTTGATGAAAACAACTCCTAGCAGCTATTTTTCTGAGAGTAAATAACTACATCTGTAAATTCTGTTTAAAAGTAACTGTCACATGCATTTTCCTACTTGTATATACAAATAAAATTTTCATTACATCTCTGTTTTTTTTTTGTGGCTCAGCTTATTGTAGTGTCACTATCACATCTCCTAATGGCTCATCTACATGAATAGATCTTTTTCTCTACCACTTGTCGTTTTGGTGAATTTCAAGCAGGGGGAGCAAAATGAGCACCGCACTTTATATACGAAGTTAGATGAAGGCTTGCACATTGTATTGCTCTGTTTGTAGTACATTATACTTTATTTTTAAAAAATTTTCAAATGATAAATTTTTACTAAATGAACAACAAAAATTTAACTTTTCAAACCTTTTTAAGTTTATAAGTGTAGCTCAATTTTTATGTTCTAATAATACAAAAATACTCTTTGCAAAATACATAATTTCCGTAATTAAAGTAAAAGAATAAAGGCTTGTAAAAGTAAATTAAATAATAAAATGCTAATTTTTTGGATAAATTGGTATAATATTTTTTTTAGATTGAAAATATTATCTTCATTAGTATATATACATATATATATAGAAAACTATTACACAATTCTTGAAAACTAAAATATACAAAAAAAAAAAATAAAAAAATGTGTAAATATAGATAAGAGAAAAAAATTCAAAAGTATAATTAATAATTATCTTTGTAACTATTAATTAAAAATAATAGGGTTTGTTGATATATGTGTAAAAAATAAATTTATTTACCTAGATATTGAGTATTATTTTCCTATTTAACATAGGATACTGATTAAATTGCTTTTATATATTCTTTTTGTTTAAAAATCTATGGACACATACAATTTGAATTGATAAAGCACTGGCTAAATAAACAACCAAGCAACATATAAGCTAATATGCACCATTTTTTTTTTTTTTTTTGGGTTTGTTGATATATGTGTAAAAAATAAATTTATTTACCTAGATTTGAGTATTATTTTTCTATTTTAACATAGGATACTGATTTAAATTGCTTTGTATATATTCTTTTTGTTTAAAAATCTATGATCACATACAATTTGAATTGATAAAGCACTGGCTTAAATAAACAAACAAGCAAACATATAAGCTAATATGCACACCATTTTTTTTTTTTTTTGCACCATTTTTTTTTTTTTTTTCTGTCATGCAAAAGCCAAGTAGACATTCATGGAGGAGACTATATGATATAGTGTGTTCCTAAAGAATATGTTCTTGCACATTTAGCCAAGTAGTCTGCACAATGGTTAGCTTCTTTGTATATACGTCTGATAACGCAGCTCTTAAGCTAATGTGCACTAATTTAGTAAAAAGAAACCTGTAAAATTTAAGAAGAAATAATTTGAAACGAAACTGCAAATTCAATTGACTAAATAATAATTATAATTATACTGATTTCTCAAGAAACTGCTCATAAGACAAATATATGCTAAAATTATAAAATAAAAATATAAACCAATCTCTATCGATCTAAACAAAATTTTTTCAAAGAAAAATAAATAACAAATTGACTGTATCAAACTACCTTTTTTATCCAAACTAAAGGAGTTGCAATTTGCAATGCCAATAATTTACGGTGCCAAAATTTACATATGCCTCCACCTCTCCAAATCTTAGAATTGCTATATCATATACATTAAAATAAAATATATGAATAAAAGTTATACAATATAAGTAAAAAAAGAAATGTTATAGTTAAAGAATTTCAATTTCACAGCTCAAGAAAGTAAGTTGGAGAGCGTCAGAAGATTAAGCCGAGAGATCAAATTTCATGGCTTGATTTTGTGATAAACACAAAATTAACACTCTCTAAATTTATATCTAATTCACTGAGCTACATGCAAAAATAAAAACAACATATATAGAAATAGAAATTGATTGAACAACAAGATAATAATATATTGAGAATAAAAAGAAAAAAAAAAAAAAAAAAAAAAAAAAAAAAAAAAAAAACAAAAAAAAAAAAAAAAACAAAAAATAGAGCAAAATATGACCACAACTCTACATAATCTTCTCGTAAGGTGCAGCATAACCATCATTCCTATAACAAAGATTCTCACCAAAAGAAAAAAAAGATGAATAACATAGCAAAAAAGAAATAAATAATATAAATAAACAAACAAATGAGAAAAAAATCGAGAATTAATATGTAGGGAACCAATAAATTAAAATGGGTATAATCAAATTGGTTAGATCGTTTATAACTTCAGCTTATATAAATGAAAATGGAATTCAGAAATTTTAAATTCAAATAAATATTTTTATTTTAACGTTTGAATTTCAAAGATAATGATAATATATATTTTGTTATTTTAACCTATTATTATTTATATATATTGAGTTGAAATATATTTTCCTTGACTAATTATTTATATATAAAAAACTCAAAATAAGGTAGAAAACTCAAAAATTTTTAAATAAGATAAATACCAACACTAAATGGGAAGTGCGTCAAGTCAGCTTCATGAATAAATTTTTTTTTTCTTCAGAATTATATAAATATATAGAATAGATAAACCTCCAGTGCTTCAAATTAGATAAACGACATAGCTTGTTGATAACATACTATATTTGAGTAGAAATAAATGGGACCAGTCGTTTTAACAAGACGCCGCATCTTGAAAAATAAACTTTATAACTCCTGTCGTGAAAAATCAGATAAACCACAAGGGTTGTTTTCTTATATGTATATATATATATATAAAATCATCTGAAGAACCAGTCTGTTACTGTCTTCCACTTTATGAATCAGTTAAATGTCCTGCCAAATGCCAATACAAAGAATTGTTATAAATATGAGAATGCACACTCAAGACTCAAGAATGCTTTCTATGAAACCAAGTATCAGACAATTGTTTTTCTTTTCTGTAAGCTGTGAGAAGAAAAATTCGTGTAATGGTTCAGTAGAGGAGGTGACAAACTTGATTTACAAATTTCATCTGAACTGATAAAGACATTTTACATTAATTATAATGAGTAACCTAAACTTTTTTGCACACAATTGAAAAATTAATTGACCATTTGCTGAGATAACAATTGTACTGTAAAATGTTCGCTAGCCTGTTATGTAACATATGCTGAAGCCTCCGGCTGAAAATGATAACAAATGTTAGATTGCTTCAAATCAGAGTATCCAGCATCTGCATCCTTGAGATTCCTGAGGCCCTTCGAACCATCGATCCCATAATGGGTTTACAGGACCAATTGTTCTGTAATTGAAAAAGAAAAAGAAAATCATCACTAAGCAATGCAAATAAAGAACATATCATACTCGAAAAGAAAAAGGCAGTCAAATAAAGGTGTTACAGAAGTTACTCTGAGAGCAAAGGATCGGGTGAGATCTGAACATTCCGAAGCAATCTGAGGAGCAACAAGAAAACTGATTTAATTCTAATCAAATTCTTGCCAAAATAACCAGGTTAAGAGCAACTATCTGTTTATTTTGATTCATTTTCTGGAAATAAAATATCACTTCTTGTACTTACTCTTCACAAATTGTTGATACATTGTCTGTTTTCTCAAGTTCCTCCAACTCTTCCTGTATAAGATTTATAGAATAACTTAATGGAATAAATCCAGGATACTAAAATCCAATTGAGGGCATGCAAATACAGAAATTACTTTCTGCAGCATTTAAATGAACAAAGAGGAAAAACTTGATGGTTCTGCCCCATGATAGACCACATGCCTCCAGAACAAGAAAACTGATGCAGAAATGCAGACAAGCAGATCTTTCTCTACTTTGCATAGTGCAAGCAGTTTCTATACCACGTCCATACAAGGAAAAATTCATAGGGGGCGAGCGATGAGACCCTATCAATAAACCGATTATCTTCACACTAACAGGTCAGTCAGATTTTCTAATGCAAAGGACGCCAGGTGGGGAAAACCTGTCGAAATGTGTGAATCATTATCATGATACCACTTCTCCTAGCTAGTTATTGATGTTTTTGTTACTCCTAATTCCCTAGAAATATGCAGGGTCAGGACTCCTTAATCCACAAATAAGCAATTATATCAATAAGACAGAGCATAACGATACAAGAGCAGTTCTCTCAAAACTTCATTGGTGAAGTTCAAAGGTAATAGCAGAAATTGGGAAAAATTATTATGAGAAGCTATTAGTATGTGAGAGTAAGAATTACTAAATTCTCTACAGTGATCCAACTAAAGATCAAAGCAAGATCTAGGAATGTTTAAAAAGTGTGATTAACCAGATTTGTACTAAACTTTGTTGATAACCAATGCTAGGAATTCAACAAAAATCTCACTGGCACTGCTAATTTAGGAAGTCTAAATAAAATTGAAAAAAATGATAGTACTGAATATTGTCTATGAAAAAGACATACAGTTCTAGGTCTGAGAAAGCAGTGACTTGGTCCCAACCTCTCCAGAGGTCCTTTCCTATTCCATAACTGCATCCGGAGGCACTTAGTGGCTGTTAGTTATAATAAACTACCCAATTTAGTCCTAGTATTTTTCTTCACAAAAAAATTTACCTAAACTTTGCAAAGCTATAATTTATAACCCAAATTGTGCCACCCCCATCCTATATAATTTATACAAGCTCTGCCCCACATTTGGGCAAAAACATGATTGTTATAATGCATTGGCATAAGCAATGTTATGTCAAAGTTTGTTGAATGTGCGAATGCAGCCCTACGAACAAAATGTTTTTTATCAAAAGTATTCACATGGTTGTTTGCTGCAGCATCAAGGTGGATATAACATGTTAAACAACTAGCCCACTTCTATAAGCAGTTCCACATCATAGGGGCTAGGGGAATTACCATTTCAACACAAAAGAATTCATGTTAAGATGTAGGCCAAGAGGTTAAAAGGCAGTATAAATACTAAGATGAAAAACTAGATTAGCTATGATATTAACCTTCTTGATGTACAAGTATCACCAAGAGATGTTTAAGCATCAACTTGCCAATTTACAAAGACAAGAAAATACTGGAAATTTTCAAATTCTCTTTTTTCTACATGAAGAATTTCTCTTTTCCAAATTCTTGGTTTCTCATTCCTCTCTTTCATAATGGAGAAACCATATGTAAACCAACTTTAAGGCCTAGGTCCTAATGACACCGAAAATAACCCTAAATCCACACGAAATGGCAGCACTAAATCCCAAATGTCCCAGGTAAAATCTCATATACAGTTGAATCTAGTGCTACTCAAGCATTTAATTAAATTTACTATAAAAGGAATCCAAAAAGGTCTGAAAAGCTTAAAAAGAACATTAACAGTAAAAAATTAAAAAGCAGACTTTTATATTCCCTCATTTTTCTACAAATACATATAGAGAAAGCTACAACACTGTTGCAGACAAATAAAACCATATTTCGACGAACACAAAAGAAAGCAATAAAGAACAAGAATAAAAATTTTCAAAGAAGAAAACAAACCTCCAAACACTTGATTTCTTGCTCAACGCGCTTAACTTCAGCAAGAATACGATGCCTACCTCTGGTATCAGCTCCAGCTCCAACAGAAGCACCAGCAGCACCTACTTGTTCATCCACCGAAGACGCCGTTTCAGAATCCATTAGCAAGAATTTTGAACTAAAGCTCCATCTTTTGAATAAATTTTTGAAAACAGAAAGCTGTTTAACTTTGCTTTTCACCGCATTGAGAGTGGTGAAAGGAAAAATGTATAGAAAGAAAGAAAAAGGAAAAGAAATAGAAAATCTGTGAAGTGAAGGCCACAGATCTATTAAGAGGGCCGAAGATGAAATGTCCGTACAAGATTCGACTGAGTCTTCTTCCTCTCCAGTGGCTTCAGTTCTCTTTCTCTTCGACGCAGAAAATACAAAATGACTTTTCCTCTCTCGGGCTTTTTGAAAGCTGTTTTTCTTTTCGAAAGAAAGAAAGAAAGAAAGAAACCAGTAGTTTCCTTCTCTCTCTTCCTCTATCCTTGTGCTATTTTTATTATTTCGATGATCAAAATAATCTATTACTAATAATTCGTTGTAATAATCAATATTATAATCAATTTAATAATACTAATATAATATTATAACCGGTGATATTACACTAATCAGATCTAAATTAAAAATTAATTTAATTCTACAACTATGACTATGAGAGGGCATTCATATATATTATATGATTAAACATAAATTTGTAGATAAATCACGCCAATAATGTTTTTTCTTTGTTATTATTGTTTTACACTTTATAATCTTCAAAAGAAACTGTACTGTTGTTTTTAACACTTTAACAGTTAACAGAATGGTCTTGCTCTTAGGATTTGGTAACAGTAATTGGAAATCTTCAAAATTACAGGGACGTTCTTTTATGTTTTTCAAAGAAATAATAATAATAATAATAATAATACACCAACGTTGATGGGATGAATTGAAAACCGAAAATGAAAGAGCCTATATCATCAAAATCTGAAAACAAAATTTTCATAGTGCTTGACAAAGTTTTTGAGGAAAAAAAAATTATATATTTATCTTTTATATCTCAAATAAGGAAATACTGTATCTGTTGTTTTTAACACTTTAACAGTTAACAGAATGGTTCTAATGCTCTTAGGATTTGTGGGTAACAGTAATTGGGAAATCTTCAAAAATATACAGGGACGTTCTTTAATATGTTTCAAAAAATAATAATAATAATAATAATAATTACACCAACGTGATGGGATAAAGAATGAAAAACCGAAAATGAAAGAGCCTTATATACATTCAAAAATTCTGAAAACAAGATTTTCATAGTGCTTACAATAGTTTTGAGTAAAAAATAAATTATTTATTATTTGATAAGATATAGTTATAGTATAACTTATATATTAATATAACTATGTATATGTATAGCAGTTGATGTAGTGTCCCAATTCATCTTTTAAGAATTGGTGAACTTTGATAGGGTCATTGGGCGAATTAAATAACGTGAGATGATGTTTGTAAAATTTCCAACTTTTGCAATGTTGAATTAAGTACTTAATATATATAATTATATAGATATATATATTTAGGACAAAATTTTTTCTTTTTACCTCTGAGTGAAGGTCACGCGATATTAATTATTAGCGTATAGACAAAACAAGTTATATTTAGGACAAAATTTTTCTTTTTCCTCTGAGTGAAGGATCACCGAATTTAATATTAGGTATAGACAAAACAGTTTAGTCCAAATTTTCAATTTCTATTTATAAATTATAAACAAACTAGATTTAATAATATTAAATAAAAGTAAACATTAGGTATTGAAATTTTAAGAGCTAAATTAAGTTTAAATTATAAAGTGATTCAAAATAAACTTAGATACTTTTTTATTTTTTATTAAAATTAAATCTTAATCCTAGAAAAAAAATTAAGATAATTGACTAAATTATCTTTTTATTAATTTCTATAATTAAGACAAATAACGTTCGATTCAAATATGTAAAGGTGAAATTTACTTTAATTTTTTAAAAGTGTCAAATCAAATAACAAGAAAAAGAAATTAAATGCCAAAAAACAGAATGGAAGTAATACTAAATGAATTTTAATTTAATCCAACATTTTAATTGACGAGCTATTTAAGAATTTTAAATTAATATTTAACTTAAAATATTAACTTTAAGTACTAAATTATATCGTTTTTTTGTTAATTTTATTAATATGAATGAAAGTATTAATTATAAAATATTTAGTTTTGAGTTTCATAATCTCTTTAATCGATTAAAATATACGTAGTTTTTTTTTGTTTTTTTGAAGTTTTAAAATATACGTAGTTGAATTCAATGATGTTTTACAATCACTTAATATATTAAATTATTTTAATTTAAAAAATAAATTATCAATATTAAATAATTCATTTGAATTTATTTTAATTTATTGGCAAGAAATGAATTTATTTATTTATTAATTTAGGTAGTGGCGGCCAACGCAAAGATGCCGTTGAGAAGTAGGGCGAATGGAGCTGTTTGTTGATAGGTCCTCCCACTTAGCAAAGTGCCTTTGGATGCTGTCCTTTTCTGCATTTCTTCTAATCATCTAATAATGTAATTTTCTTCTCCCAAATATACCCATAACCCCTTTATATGTCTTATCTTTTTATATATGATTATTTTTGTAATTTCGGTCCACAAAGCTTCAAATCATCAGATTACCTTCATTTCGCACCTACACATTATGGATTGGTCCCAAACTATCTAAAGCCTAAGTGTTCCTTTCAGTAACATTCAAATATGGAGGCTGCAACTAATGTTGTAATATACAAATTCTATTTGTTCATCGGTGGACCGAGATATTTAAATTCTTAAAATCGGTATAAATACAGTTCATCAATCTGTTTTATTGTCTCATTCATATCTGGTTTTGGTATTAAAATTTCAAGTACACATTTAACTACACAATTACAATGACGGTGACAAGAAAAACCCAAGTAAGGATACGTTCTGTGTCTTATTGCATTAAATCAGTACTGAAAAATCACTTCTTAAGTGAACAAACAAACAAAGAAAGAAACTAAAAAAAAAACAACACTTGTTAATTAGGCCATTTCAACTTCACCAGCACCTCCAGTTTTAGCAGCCACTTGAGGAAATTCTTGATCATAAACAGAATTATGCCTGGACTCATATTTCTCCCCGTCTCCCCACAAAGCATAAGCCTCTTCTCCATGAATTGCATCATCCCCAGTTTGCAATTCATCATCAGACAATCTCAGAGGAATCACAAATTTTATCAAGAAACAGATAACACTAGTGGTGAAAATATTAAGAAGGATAACAAATAGAATCCCAAGTAATTGGATTCCCATTTGTTTGAAACCTGCACTGGTTCTGCCTGTTTGGAGACCATAAGCAAGGCCTATGTAGTGTTCCCAAGTTTCTACTAAATAGAAGATGCGGTTCAGCTTGGGCTCTGCAAAAAATCCAGTGAGAATTCCTCCCAAGCTTCCAGCAACAGCATGAGTGTGAAAAACTGCCATTGTATCATCTACTTGCTTTAGTAGCCATATTTTCTTGTGCAGGACCATCATTGAGTACCATGGGATGCTTCCTGACATTAGCCCCATCAGGATTGCTGCCCAACCTTGCACAACTCCTGTTCAATTCATTCAACCTCAACAGTTCAAATTCTGATAATTTTTTTGTGTTGGATAATTCAGAAAAATAAGAGGCCGTGGAAGCAGTGGAAAATGTTCAATAAGAAGTAGACGCCGGTAAAAAAAATTAAATATTAATTTATTATTTTAAACTTTAATTTTTGGACATGTACCAAAATAATTGAAAAAGAGAGAATTCTATATGTACCAGCAGCAGGAGTGATGCAAACTAGGCCAGTGATCATGCCTTGTGTGGCTCCGATGACGGAGGGTTTCCCAAAGAAAATGATGTCAAGAAAGAGCCAGGTCAACAAGCTAGTAGCAGTGCACACATGGGTGTTAAGGACGGCCAGAGATGCATCTATACCCGCATTGTAAGGATCTCCACCGTTGAATCCAGACCAACCCATCCAAAGCAGCCCTGCACCTGCTAACATCAGAAGGATGTTGTTTGGTGGGAACCTTTCTCTGTCCTTGTTTGCCCTTGGTCCTACCTGCGTCCATCATTCCATTTAAATCTTAGCGCCACAAATCACTCTTAATATATTACTTTTCAATAATTCTAGTAAGAAATTGTAGGGAGTTTTTCTTTTTGGTGCATAATGAAAATGTCTTGTACAACGGAATGTAATTTTCTTATTTTTCTAAGTCTTTTTCACCCAAAATTGGAACCTGAAATTTCATACTAAAAATTTTTTAGAAAAACTAGTGACTATGATTTGAATAGTTTTGACTTTAATTTTAATTAAACGAGAAAATTGGTTTGAAAGCAATGAAGGAAAAGCAAATGACAGTAATAGTTTTACCCAAAAGGCTGCAGTGAAACCAGCAACCCCAGATGCAAGGTGAATGACATATCCTCCAGAGTAATCTATAATTCCCATTTTAGCCAGCCACCCAGTTGGGCACCATATGCTATAAGCAGTAATAGTATAAGAGAAAGTGAGCCAAAGTGGCACAAAAAGCATCCATGCATGAAAGTTCATCCTCCCAAGCAGCGCTCCAGCAACCAAAATCAATGTTATGGCAGCAAAAACAAACTGGAAATACACCATCGTAGCACTAGGAAATTTCCCAGCAAAACCCTGGTCCAACAGAAACTTCTGGTCTAGAGAAACGCCAGGCTTTCCAAGGAAAGGCGCGAACTTATTATTTCCAAAGGACATCTGGTAACCCCACCCCACCCAGCATACCAGAACCGCTGCGAACGCGTATAGGGCCATGAAGGCGGAGTTCACAGCCCATTTCTTTTTAACAATGCTTCCGTAAAGAATGACTAAGCCTGGCACGCTCTGAAGGCCTACTAGGGTTGCCGCCGTTAGCTGCCATGCATTGTCGGCTTTGTTCATCCATTCCGGGCTGGCATCGTCGTGCATCAACCCGGAGGGCAGGTTCCCAGTCGTTGACATTTTTGCTGGACTGGGATGGATCGGGTTAGAGTTGAAATGTGAGTGGTACTAGAAAAGCAAGGAAGCAAATGAACGATGAGATGTGATCAGAGAGAATGGTAGGCTTATATATAGGTGAAAGATAGAAGCTGTGATTTGGCTGGATATACTATGCAATTTCTTTGCTGTTTTGTTGGCTAATCGGCTGATTGTGAACTGTGAAGTGAAGTTCTTTGTTTACCATAATTATGGTTTTAATTAAGGAAATTTTGTCATTTGAAGAACAAATTTAATAAAGAAAAGACGGTAAGATGCAATTAGGGAATGTCATTTTTCAATAAACGTTGAATCCAATGAATGTGAGCTTTAGCCATGGAATCCCCGTCAAGAAAATGGATTGCTTACATACTTGCATTGATGCCAACAAGGGAAATTAGGAATTCGTGATAAATAAAATTATTGTTTTTATCATAAAAAATAATAATAATAATATAATTTCATTATATTAGTGTGAAAAACTAAGTAATTTAGGGCTTCTTTTTTTAATCTTTTTAGTGGCCAGTATAGTAACATGCCTTAACATTTGTTGATTCAAGTCTGGTAATGAAATTGAGGAATTTTTGTCAGAATGATGTTTTGCAAAAAATTAATTCTCTAAACCGCATTTTGTTGAAAATATTTATCAGAATGGTATCTTATTGATGTTTCAAAGTCTTTTATTCCAGTCATAGTGTAACAAATAAATGCATTGTTATATTATGACTACAACAAAATCAATAAATTTTAATTTATTTTAACGCTAGCAACTTTACAGATCAATATTATCTCTCCTCTCCACTTGAATTGAATGTCACACTATAAGAGAAATAATGTCAAAATGTCAGACAAAATATGTTATAAGCTTTGGGAATTAACGTAAAGTAATGGTAAGGTACGTAGAGTAAGATTAAGATTCTCGCAATAAAATGAAATATTATTACATTGTAAATGTAATAATTTAAAAAATTAAAAGAGATCTTTTAAAATTGCCCGTGGAATAAAAAATGATGCAAGAGAATAAAAATGAGGCAGGGAATCATTGTAAGAATGGAATCATGCAGGGAATTTCGTGCGTAAATTATCTTTACAATTATTACATTATTAGCAGAACAATAGACATTCCCCAAAATAGCAAATTAAATTAAAATGAATTCATGTTCACTTTTTTTATAAAATAATGATCCACTGACATGGATAATTAATTCTTGAAAAAAAAAAAAGCAAAATAACAAATTAAATTAAAATGAATTTGACATATAAATACAGGTACTTACCTTCAAATAAGAGAATCACTTTTGTTTTTAATGCTAAGTCTAAAACAAAACAACTACACAATATAATAAGAAAAAAAATCTAAACATAATAAAATATTTACTCAACTAACAAATACAATTAACAGGTACTTACCTTCAAATAAGAGAATCACTTTTTGTCTTTTAATGCATAAGTGTCTAAACAAAACAACTACACCAAGTATAATATGAAAAAAAATCTAAACATATAATAAAATTATTTACTTCACTAACAAAATATGTAACAAAATATATTAAACAAAAAAAAATAAAATAAAATAAAACATTAACAAAGCAAGAAGGAGAAAGCACTCGCCTGTGAGTAAATGGAAGAAGCAATGTTCTCTTTCCATGCACATAAACGACATATAAATACAGGTACTTACCTTCAAATAAGAGAATCACTTTTGTTTTTAATGCTAAGTCTAAAACAAAACAACTACACAATATAATAAGAAAAAAAATCTAAACATAATAAAATATTTACTCAACTAACAAATATGTAACAAAATATATTAACAAAAAAAATAAAATAAAATAAACATTAACAAAGCAAGAAGGAGAAGCACTCGCCTGTGAGTAAATGGGAGAAGCAATGTTCTTTCCATGCACATACAACTACCCATAAAACTTGACAGATTCTAGCAGTGGAATATTAAATATTCTCCTGCACTTACTACACATTTCTTTCTTTTAATAATTTACACCTCTTACACATTTTTTTTTTCTTTTTCATAATTTACACTGCTTATACCTAACACAATAATAATTTTCTTTCCCATAAATATCTCTTTCGTATTATTGCACTAACAATATCACAATAGCAATTTTTTCTGGCGTGGGAATCTCACCCATAAATTGTTACAGAGTAAGTGTAACAATTGAAACTTTGCATTTGCGTGGGAATCTCGCCAAAAGAATATATTCCATTATGACATTGTTTCAATTATAGTGTACATCCAACTCAAAGAGAGATAGAAGAGAGAATATTGATCTATAAATCTGCTAGACAACGTTAAAATAAATTAACAATGCATTTATTACACTGTGATCGGAACAAAAGCCTTTAAAATATTAATAAAACATCTTTCTGGTAAATGTTTTTCACACAGCACCATTTTGGGAATTAGTTTTTCTCGGAACATCATTTTAGAAAAAAAAAAAAAAAACCCGAAATTGATGAGTTAATTCTGACAGTATCAGGATCAATCTTTAAAATGGGAGTTTAGACTGGCTCTAAATTTTGGCTTTGATTGCTATGTTCCGCAGTTTAAAAGGGGAGAGTGCTTATATCTTTATTAGAAGTCAAACACATTCATCATAATTATAATCCATGTTCGATTGTATGGTGTCCAAGAATATTTGAGAGGTGTCGGTTTCGCTATGGGTAGGACATGTTCACACAACGGTAAACCTTTTAAGGTGTCCATTTGCCCTCGATATCAATTTTTTTGTTTCCGATAATTTTTGAAAAAAGTTTGCCCCAAGTCAGTTAGCTGTAATGGATAGGCTTTTGGCGAGTATGTGATGGGCAAATAGCCCATTTTGATTACATTAAGCCTAGGATTGTTTGTTGTTGTCTACTACGTACGTTACTCCGTACCACTCTTTCCTTCTTGTTTGAACCGTGAACCGATTATCACTCAGTAACATTTTGGTTTCTTAGTTAAATAAACAAATTAACATTTATACACCGAAAATTAAAGAAATTTCGAAGCAGAACTTACAAGCATGGATTTATCTTCGGCCGCAAAAGCGGTGGTTGTGGTTGTTGTTTAACAGTCAACAGAACGAAGATAAATCTCAGTCTTAAACCCGTGTTATTATTAACAAGTAGTTTTGTCTTTTTTTGCTTCAATTCATGACACTGATCAATCAACCAACCACGGCCTTATATCTGTTCTTGCTACACTACAAGCTTGAACAGCCACATCGTGCTCACTGATGAGCAATAAACCACTCAACATAGCTCGAGTCTGCAAGTGGGTTTTCTTGGGAATCTTCAAATTCACTTCCTTTCTTTCTTCGGTTTTCTTTGATTGATCAAATTATGGCCTCTTCGATGATCAACGGAGCAGAAAACCTCACTCTTGCGAGAGGCATAACCCAAAAAGGATTAGGTTTTTCGGGATCAGATTTTCATGGGAAGTACTTTCCGAGAGTCAATTTAGTGTCTAGCGCTAGAATTTTTAAGGCAACAAGAATAGTGACACCCAAATGCAGTTTGTCAGCCTCCAGGCCAGCCTCTCAACCCAGGTTTATCCAACACAAGAAAGAAGCTTTTTGGTTCTACAGATTCCTTTCAATTGTCTATGACCATGTGATAAACCCTGGGCACTGGACTGAAGACATGAGGGATGATGCGTTAGAGCCTGCTGATCTTAATAACAGGAATATGTTAGTTGTAGATGTCGGTGGTGGCACTGGTTTTACTACTCTGGGTATTGTTAAGCATGTAGATGCTAAAAATGTTACTATTCTTGATCAGTCCCCGCATCAGCTTGCAAAGGCTAAGCAAAAGGAGCCCTTGAAAGATTGTAAGATTATTGAGGGTGATGCAGAGGATCTGCCATTTCCTACTGATTATGCTGACAGATATGTGTCTGCTGGGAGGTATGTTTCTTGCGACTTAACTTCTACTTGAACTGAATCCGTTATTCTTGTTTTTGGTTTCAATTTTTTATTGATTGTGTTTTTGTGGATGTAGTAGTACAATTTAATTGTTCATTTCTGCAAATTCTACGATTAGCTTTAGCTGTTAATTTTTAAGACTGCCTAGCTCAATTCTTTAAGTCAGATTATTTTTCATCTTCATCGGTGAATGCATTTTGCAATTAGGAATCTTTCTTAAAAAACATAAGCTCAAATTGGAAAATACACCGACCTATTTTCTGAGTGTGAGTTAGTTTTTGCCATCTGGATACAATAAGGGTTTATGGTGTAGAATCCTTTAGGAGTGTGCATTGACGAGATTTTGTTATCTGAATATGTAGATTTTATGAATAAAACTGTTGTAGAATTGCAGTAGAAAAATAAACTTGTGTTTATATTGAAGTTTGAATAACTTCCTAATAATGGAACCGATAACATTTTACATCTTCTCAGTATTGAGTACTGGCCTGACCCACAACGTGGCATCAAGGAAGCATATAGGGTCTTGAAACTAGGAGGAAAAGCCTGCTTAATTGGCCCGGTGTACCCAACATTTTGGTTGTCTCGCTTCTTTGCTGATGTTTGGATGCTCTTCCCAAAGGAGGAGGAGTACATTGAATGGTTTCAAAAGGCCGGGTTTAAGGATGTTCAGCTGAAGAGGATTGGCCCAAAATGGTATCGTGGTGTTCGCCGACATGGACTGATCATGGGATGTTCAGTAACAGGAGTTAAACCTGCATCTGGAGATTCTCCTTTACAGGTAATTATTCTAGACTAATGCTATTGCATAATATTTCGCCCAGTATTTGGTTGTTTAGCTCAGTCTTTTGGGTTGTAATCCGTTAATGTCTCATATATCCATTTGGGGATAGTATGTGGCAAGTTATTTATGGATTGGGTTTTCTTGTTTCTCTGTAGATCTGTGTGTGTTTCATATGTTTTTGGATGGTTAGGTAAGGTTGGGGTGAAATGTGGATGGATGGGTTTGTGTATGTGCTGTTTGTGGAGGGCATTTTAATAATATTGGGGGAAAAAAAGATTGTATGGATGTATCTGTAGAAAGCACATTGTGGTTGCTGTATTGTTTTGTAGTGTTTGCTGTTAGATTTTTGAATGATTTATCATATCATGAATTAGCTCTGCGGTAATTTGAAATTTGAAACTTCCTTGAGTTATAAATTCAATTTATTCTTTAAGAAATTCAACAAAAAGGGGCAGTGTAGTTCATAATGTTAAAGAAACATGAAGGGAAGTGGAAACCTAGAGAGTAAGAACTAGTAATTGTGGCCCTTAATTGATAATGGTATCTTTATAAAGATTATTACAATTGCTGACCGGAGTAACCAAAGCAAGATATGATATCCGAAGATGAAAAGTTTTATGTAATTTGTTCATAGAATTATAACCGTTTAAATGACTGAAGTGTAAATTTTATGCCATTTTGCCCCTTGAAGATGGGGACATTACTTTGATTTTAGTTTTGACATATGAGCAGTTGATATCATTCTGCAAAGCTAAGATTATCTTTCATCAGTAGGAAGTTGTGAAGAAAATAATAGGTCACTGCTGTGTATAATGGACTTCTGTGGTTATAATTCGATTTTTGGTGACCTTGGTGCTTGTATTTCTGAAAGGAATCAGGCTATGTTTGGTATATTGCAATGGCTTTGAACTAAAAAATGTACTTATTTATATTACATAACATGTCATAGCAATTATAGCTTACTTTACAAGTAATTTTTGGCCTAATTACACACATTTCAAGTAAATTCATTTTCTTCCTTTTATTACAGCTTGGTCCAAAAGAAGAGGATGTATCAAAGCCGGTGCACCCATTTGTGTTCCTTCTGCGATTTGTTTTGGGTGCCTTGGCTGCAACGTACTATGTGTTGGTCCCAATTTACATGTGGCTCAAAGATCAAATCGTACCTAAAGGTAGACCAATCTGAGAGGATTTTAGAGTTGCTTGATTTGTGGGCAATCCTTTTTGTATTTGATTTAGACAGTTTCCGCCCACATTTAAAATCTGGACATGCCTTTAAGTGCAACCTTTGCTTTGTCTAACAAAAAGAAGTGGATTTTAAAGTTCTTATGAATATTTGCTTTGTGGAATTCACATTTCTATATTCAAAGCTCAGTTGTTGATGACTGTTTGCAACCAAGGTTTGCTACTCTGGATAGAATAAGAGTTTCATGTTCTTGGTTTGGGTGCATTTTATGGTTAGTCTCATAGCATATAACTATATACCATTACAAGTACTAGAGACACCTCTTGAAGGAAGATTCTAGTCTTTACATTTCAGGAAGCTCATTTTATGAAAGATAAAAAGTAAAATAATTGGAATAAAATTTGGTATTACAAATATTAGGTGAATCCGTATTGCTATCTTGGTTTCAAATTTACCCTGTCTCTATCGTAATTAATTGACGCAAGACTAGTATAATCGTCAACACTCCTGACTACTAAAACTTCTCGTTTCAAAAGTCGATTCATCTCAAAAGATGAGAAAATAAAATAAAATAAAAGAAACAGTGATAGTCAAAGCCAAGAAAGAAGTCATTGGGAAAAATACAAGCAGCAGGCCCTAGTTACCTAGCATTGGAAAATAGAAACCTGTATCAGATGCAACCTGGTAAAAAGAGACCCATAATATGTAAGGTCCAAAACGACACTAACCATAATGCTAAACAGTGTGCAGGCACCGAGTTTACCTCATCTAGGTATTGAAATCAACGGGTCCAATTGAATCTGGGTTGGTAATTACTACAATTCCACAACAGATTACAGAAAATCTAAGCCACTAAATGTAGAAATGAAATGTTTCACCAGCCCTTAATACGACTCTAGTTGGACACCAAGCCTTCAGTAAGTTCTTCCTTCCCACTGGAAGTCTGGTCAACAATTAAGAGCCTAAGAGAGAAAACCCTATCACCTTCTGTTGCTCCATAAATTGTGCTCAGCATGCTTTTTGAAGAAAAACACCCACGTTTCAGTTTTCATTATCACCTTTGTTCTCGAAGCACACGGGAAAATGCACAATGAAATTTGCAACCAACCAGCCCATGCTGTTCAACTTACACTGCAACGTAATTCATAATTAATTCAGATGGATAAGATTTGGTAACGATGCCTCCAATTTCATTTGAACATGGTGTAGGTTGAGGTTTCTGTACTTTGAAAGATGGAAAGGATTCTCAATGTTACCTCGTTCCCAAATCAGGACTGATGTCACCATACGAAACCAAACCCCGCTGCTGACCAGAAGGTGAGCTTGACCTAGACCTGCTGGTTGTTTTGCTGTGATGATTTGGGGGTACAGCATCAGAAGATCTAGAAAGTGAGGATCCACGACTCCTGGACCTAGAACTGGACCTCAATCTTCCTTTGTTCAATGAGCGTTGATCATCAATTCGGGGGCCCAGACGCGATTTCAGACCCTCACTTATTGAAGGTCGCTTATCTCTAGGACTAGGACTGCGAATTGGACTCTGACTCCGGCTTTGATCCCTGTAACGGCCACGATAACTGCCTGGACTACGAGAAATGCTCCTACTTCGGCTTCTTCGGTTTCCATGTCTAAGAATGAAATGCAGATTAATTGATCATGATGGGAATATGGGACTATCAGTTTGCATATATAAAAGCTTAGAGGGAAAAAGATGAGATAAAAAAATGCAAATGTTTAAACAGAAGCCACTTTTGTCCTTGCAGTACATTAACAACTGCCTTACCAGTACTGTGGCAATCATGTCTCAACCACATAGCAATGATGCATATTGGACGGAATTGATCACCCAGTAGATAAACATGGTTGAATTGCTTAACGATGATAGTAGAAGAAATAGAAAGGCCAGTAAAAACAACACTAGCTGCAGAACAGAGAGAAAAAAATAGTGGGAAGGAGAACCTGGGGGGACTCCTGCCTCTTGGTGGGCTTCTGAAGCGTCTACGTGGTGATCGCTCAGAATAACTTCTATAGCTTGTATACCTTCAAAATGAAAAGATGAGTGAGATGATAAAAACAAAATAAAATTCAGAGATTGTGGAAGCATTTGTATAATTACATAGCACTGACATTACCTATCACGGTTTCTTTCATTAATATTTCTTCCACCATAACGGTAGGGCCTCCGAGGTGATTTCTCTGGAGAGGGGGTGCGGTATCGACGTGCAAAGGAATAACGCTCAGTGAAGCCACGTCCTTTTCTAACGCGCTGGGGAGTGCCGTTTGGAGATCGGCTTCTTGATAATTCCCGCCCATGATTAGAGTTAGATGTTTCAGGGGCTTTGTGGACAAGATTATCCGGTGGGCTTCTTTGAGATCTTCCCTGGCTTAGTTCACCAGACTTCCTAGAGGGACTTCTACTGTCACCTCTGAATCTCGGACTTCTGTACACCTTTTTAGGACTCATGCTTCGACCGCTCCTGTGGCTATTATTTGACCTCCTCCTACTTGGTGTCGAACTCCTGTTTAGTCGATTGTACAATTAAAGAAGTCTTAGAATACTAGCACTTCATGTGTTGGCCACCAAAAACTAAAGCACAAAAATATTAAAAGCAGCAACCTAGATTTGCTCGAGTCATCAGAATAAGAATGGCGTTTAGTGGTCCTCTCCACTTTAGGATCTATGCCATTCCCATTGTTTACTTGCTCATCATTCTTAGGAGACAATTCACCTTCTTCATTTGATGTGTTTGCCTCAGTTGTTTTTGGCTCACGATTACTTTCTGAGATGGCTTTTTTTCCTAGTAGCCTAATGGGGGAACTTTTCATCGCCTCTGTAGCATAGCAAGCAAAAGGATTAACATTATTCTGAGATGGTTACAATTAAAGGAGGACGTATGCACAGCCTACCATGACTCTCCCCCAATTTCTTTTCAGGAAGACTAGAGTTACTGGTTTTTCGAGCAGACTTGCAATGATCAGCTTCTTCGTCATCAGAACTGCTACTACCACTAGCACTAGCACTCTCTGTATGACTGGCACTTTCAGAACTCCTGCAAAAGAAAACCACCATAAATAAATTAGGCCATTAAGGAGTACACCAGCTTCCATGCTACTGAGCAAGGGATAAAATTGGAGAGGTTGCACTAAACATAAACTATACCATTTAGACTTGTGCTTTGATCTTTTATTATGCCGGACTCTTTTTTTCCCCCTTCGTCCATCCCTCTGTTTCCTCCCGCGCTTGCTTTTATCTCGTTTCACTGACTTCCTCTTCCTACGCCTTCCATCACTAGATGAACCTGAATCAGACAGTGATGAATCTGAATCTGAATCTGATTCTGAATATGAAGAGGTATCAGAATTTGAAGAAGAAGAAGAATCTGAATCATAGTCAGAATCTGAGCTCTGTGAGTCGGTTGAATAGTATATCCTTTTTCTTTTCTTTCTTCTATCCTTCAGTGTTTTTTTGCGTTTTCCTCTAGTTTTTCCATCAGAACTATCATCTGAAGAAGGAAGCTTTCTTGATTTCTTCTTCTTTCCTGGGAAAAAGCCACATTACACTGTACAATTACTGATGACTATAGAAACACAACAATAAGATAAGAAATACTTGCATCAGCAATTCAGCACCTGAAATACCACAGCATTACCTGCATCCTTTCCAACAACATCCTGAATTTTGTTTTCAAAAGTTTCACCACAATCTACAATTTTTACAGGGCGAATGGGTTTGCCATCACCTGTTCCCACCTGTTCAATTTTTTTCACGACATCTAATCCCTTTATGACCTTTCCAAAAACCACATGTTTCCTGCCATTTATTTAGAAAAAAAAGAATCCATCAATTGAAACTATCCTAAGACTTATTTATAAGTGAAAATAAAATTTGCAAAGATGAAGGAAAGCAGCAATTAGGAATGGACAGGTCAGAGGAAAATGGAATGAAAAATATGTGACAAAGATATCATATGAGCAAACCAGGCAAAGATCAGTATACCCATCAAGATGAGGCTGACGCTTAAAAGTTACAAAGAATTGGGAACCATTTGTGTTTGGACCACTATTTGCCATGGAGAGAAGACCTGGTTCATCATGCTTCAATATAAAATTCTCATCTGCAAACAGAAACACAAACTTTTATACTTATGAAAAGAATAGAGCATCATATGAGAACATATATGATTCATATGTTTACCTGCAAACTTCCCTCCATATATACTTTCTCCACCAGTGCCTGCAAACCAATTAAAGGTTGATCCTTACAAGTCTGGGAATGAGTAAGGAAGTCACATAGACAAATTGATTCATTAGCAGACTTGAAAATTCATCAAATCAGAGAGTATACCATTTCCCTTTGAAAAGTCACCACCCTGTCAGGACAAGGAAAACAAAATTAACAATTTAAAAGAGCACAAACCCACATACCAAGGCTGAACATATTAATTCAATTAAGAGAAAGTATGAAGTCAACCAGTATTCTGGACACCAGTAAAGGTAATTGGTAAATTGTCCATCAAAAATGACTTCCTAAAAATTAATGGGAATGCTCAGATTATCAAGTGCAACAAGTTTTTTGATATGAAGCCCACATCAAATCCAATGATGAGCATTATATTATATCGTGGTACTAGTTGAAACAGAATAAAATAACATACTTGGGCCATGAATCCTCTGATAATTCGATGGAAGAAAGATCCTTTATAGTGAAGAGGTTTCCCAGTTGTTTTCCCAATGCCCTTCTCACCTAAAATGGACCATGGCAAAATACTCTCAAAATCTGAATTAAATGACGTAGACTAAACACAACTGATTTCTTATCTTAAGGGAAAAAAAAAGATCTTCGAATCAACATTATAGAAATCACAGGTTCACAATTAGATATAGCATCACTACAAGGATAGGTGTCTACAACCACACAAAAGCTGACAGTTCATTGCTATAAGTAATTACAAATGCTAACAAGAACCATCTTTTTAAATGGTATCCTTTTAGTTAAAGAAACAGAGCGTCCTACTATTTTCAAATCCTTTGCTCAAATTGTCCGATTAAATTCAGAACCGCAATCCCACTTTGATGCAACATGCAAGCAATAACCATCACCAGCTGTTTGAACACTGTTCAATTTTCTAATCCTATTATAACATATACAGCATTTCAAGAGGCAATTAGAATTATTAATATTTACAATTTCATTGACTATATATAACTTTCAAAAAGAAATTATAATCTAAATATGTTAAGCGACCAAATAACTTTGGATACTAAGCTCTTGAACACCTGATACTTGATCTTCAAATGCAGACCATAACAGGACATTATTGATCATTGTATATGCTAATATTCTCTAGTTGAGATATTCAAATGATGGTTGGATAATATGAATTTTCTTAGTGATAGCCATAGATTGAATAGAGAATCCTCATAGGAATAGTGAAGTTTTAAACATGCCTGTACAAAGAGCCCGGAAATTCTCCGCAGTCTTGGGGACAAAATTTGCAAAAAGCTGGCCATTAAAAAAAAAAAAAAAAGTTATCTGTATTTCAATGGTGATACATAAACTTATACAGTTTTGAAATGCAGAGTAGAAAAAAAGCTACCAAATACCAATGCTATTGGGTGCAAGTGAAGGAATGTAAGAAATTGGATCTCAGATTTTTCCATTACCTCAAAAGCAATTCTTTCAACAGGATCTCCATCAATTGATACATCAAAAAACACAAGAGGGTTTTTTCTCTTGCTCATCTCCTATCTTGAAAACTAAAATAGAATTCAAGGTTAGCATATATATATTGCTCACCTGTCAAACAAAAATACTGCATGTGTGTGTGTGTGACATTCGCTAATTGATCAAAGCAAAAACTCTTTACAAAGTAAACAAGCATGTATTAAAGATGCTCATGTTGGGGATTATTACTCGAATTATTAAGAAATCATCCAGGTAGTGATACTCTATATGGACACAAACTCAAAGAACTTTTCCTGACGTACATTTCCAATAAAAGCCAAAATAAACAAATAAGTTAGTTTTTCTTTTTCATATGTCCATCTTTAATTTTCTATTTGCATTTTGGTTAGCAAGAACTTATTTCACTAATCTCGCCAATTCACTCCAGTTTTCAGCAAGGATAGAGAAAAAAAGTTCAACGTTTAGCTAAAGCTCGGTTGAGTAAGAGCAAATTAACAGAACTCGTAAAACCCTAAACCCTAATTCTTCAACTCAAGATTCAAGGAACCGCAAATAGAGCTTCATTTGCATCAAATCAATGTATCTTCAGCAATGATAGGCCAAACATAGGACAAAAGTGTAAAGAACAAGCAGCTAACCAATTGTTGATACTACAAAATCCTAATAATTCCAACTAAAAAAATAATAAATGGAATAATTTAGGCTGATATTAATTTCCGGTACCTTAGCAGTAAAAAACTCGGCGATAATTGAACTAGGGCTTGCGATTTGAGAACTCAAGCGTCAGCGATAGCCATCACTCTCGAGTCGGGTGTGAAGCAGAAAAGGCACAGCCGCTTAGCACTCAGAAATATTCTTTCGCGTTTGGGCTAGAAGGGCACAAATCTCCTGCATTGCACTTAGATGAATGATGAATTCTCTGCGGGCCACGTGCCAACTGGCGTACTTTATTGGTCGGGCTGGTCGGCTGGACAATAACCAGTAAAATCAATTTTGGTTCGGTTGGTTTGATTTAAAAACAAATATCGATTCAATTTTATTTTAACGGAAAAATCAAAATTTTTCTTAAAAGTTACTCAATACTTCGATTTATCCAATTCATGTACTTTATAGCTAAATTACAGGTGTTTGATAAACATTCTAATTATTTAAACTCTTAATATAGCTAATCGTTGATTTACATTTAACAGCTAAATTAGAGGTATTTGATAAACATTCTAATTAGTAGTTGATAGTTTATAAAAGTTTTAATCAAATAAACCTAATCCAACAACCGGAAAAATCGTTTGCGTAATCCTTCTTAACTATATAATAATTTGATTGAGAGGAATTTCATATTTATTTGTGGACAAAGATAATAGTTTTCAAATTGTTAAAAATAAAAAATATATATATTTACAATATGTAGGCCATCACATTATTTTAGTACACTTAACTTTCAATCATCAAATATCAGTGTGAAAAAATAAATCTATTTACCAGTTAACTTTTAGTCTTCAATATGCTCTTTGTCAAAAATTCAACTTTTGTCGATTGAAATAAGTGTAAAAAATAAAATTCATATACTAGTTAACTTATGTCACATGACACAGAAAATATTAAAGATACGTGTCAACAAAAGTTCGCATAATTCCAAGTCCAAGATATTCTATTTTTGGTTTTTGCGTACTGCTCTTAATTAAGAATTGAAACAAGTGAACACAACCGAACATAACATACATGATTAGGTACATACATGTATACGAAATCCATAATTTTTTATAAGGGTTGATTTGGTATTGTTATTACATATATTTTAAACTAAATTTTCTAAGAGTAATTTTGTTGACCTAGCATATGTAGGTGGTTGCAATATTTTTTCAAATTCAAAATTGATTTTAAAAAAAAGTTGACCGACATTTAATGATTTATAATAAGGATAAAATATAACTAAGTTCTTAAATTATATTTAAATTACCATTTAAACCATATTTGAAAAATAACTATAATATTCATAATTTATATTTTATTTCGTCGGATACTTTCATCTAAAAATTAAGCTCTTTCTATCTAAACAATGAGCATATTTTGTATAAAATGTGACATATATTACAACTATATAGACACTTATCGGATTCTCATGTTCTTAACTGTTTTATTTCATTTCATTATTGGATCTAAACTATTATATAAATAGCTACAGACTAAAAACTAACCGCTGACAACTGACAACTCTACATAATTAGATGCATACCACGTAATTTTAACCTCGACAAGACACAAGGACTAATTAAATTAAGTCCTCCTGTTCAAAAAAGAAGTGAGATAGAGGCAAAGACGTTCAAATGATCGAGTGATAAAAAGTCAGTCTTTGTACCAAAAAAACAAAAAAAAAAAAATGTCATAGTCTAACTGACTTTTTATTGTTTCAAGAATCAGATAAATTCAAATGCAAATAAGTGGTAGATAAAGAGTGCCATAGAAATATTTCATATATATATATATATATATATTATATTCATATTTATTATATTGTCGGATAACTCATCTAAAAATTAACGCGTCTTTCTATCTAAACAATGAGCATTATTTTGTTATAAGAATGTGAACAACTATTACAACTATATAGTGACACTTATCGGCTTATTCTCATGTTCTTAACTGTTTTATTTGCATCATTATTGATCATTAAACATTATCATAAATAGCTACAGACAAACTAACTTCCGCTGAAACGACACTCTACAGTAATAGAGCATACCACTGTAATTTTAAACTCGACAAGACACAAGGGAACTAATTAAATTAAGTCTCTTCTGTTCAAAAATGAAGTGAGAAGAGGCAAAGACTCGTTTCAATATGATCGAGTGATAAAAAAGACAGTCTTTTGTACCAAAAAACAAAAAAAAAAAAATGTCATAGTCTAACTGAGCTTGTTTTATTGTTTCAAGAATCAGATAAACAAAGCAAATAGTTGGTAGATAATAGAGTGCCATAGAAATATTTCATATATTATATTATATATATATATAATATATATATATATATATATATTCCATTCAACCATTTGGCTCTTGATTTAGGACCCACTTCTAGAGAATTTCCATCGTTGAATGGAATTTTAAGCTCAACGCGTTAGACTATTTCAATATCCATTCCCAACAACACTATATGTATTCCTTTAATTTATTAATTCATATTTTATATATTGTAGCTGACTCCTTTCTTAGGAGAGAAGCCTTAAACCTCAGATATATATACACACGCATTTCTTTCTTTCTTCTTTCTCATATTTAGGTTCTGACTTTGTCTTATGATTATTACCTGTAAAATTCTCGAAACATCAAATTAATGGCGGAAACACTTACAGAAGATCAGATTGCAGAGTTCCACGAGGCATTTTCCATGATCGACAAGGACTCAGATGGTATGGCTTTTTCTTTCTTTCTTTCTTTCTTCTTCTACTGTATATATACATGATAAGAATAATAAAAGTGATTAGCTAGGTTTAACAAATTAATATTGCTTTAGGGTTCATTACAATGGAAGAACTAGCGGCAATTATTCAATCACTGGACGGGCATCCTACAAAAGAAGAAGTTCGAGAAATGATAAGTGAAGTAGATTTTGATGGAAATGGGACAATAGATTTTCAAGAGTTCTCGAACATTATGGGTCGTAAAATGAAGGTTTAGTTCTTTTCTGTTTCTAATCTTTAAATTTGTAAAAAGTGAGAGACCAGTATTGGCTCTCTCATTCCCGTATATTTTATGTTTTTCTTACTGTGATTCTTGCAGGAAAATGTTGCTGAAGAGCTAAAAGAAGCTTTCAAAGTCTTTGATAGAAACCAGGATGGATATATATCAGCCAATGAGGTAACTATATTTAATCTACGAACAAAAATTGAATTACAAATTATTAGCTTTGCATTTACTTTGTTCATATATATACTTTACTTTGTTTCATAATATATATATATATATATATATAATATTATATATATATATATTGTGACTCAATTCACGGTGCAATCTCACGATTTTATTTCCAGTTTTCAGACCCTTCGATGAAATCTATTCATGTTATTTATTTTTAAGTTTTGAGTATTGTTGTTGCGGTATCATTTATGCATATATATATTGTGACTCAATTCACGGTGCATCTCACGATTTATTTCCATGTTTCAGACCTTCGATGAATCTAATTCATGTTATTTATTTAAGTTTTGAGTATGTTGCGGGTATCATTTATCAAACTTAGTTTTCGACTACGTCAAACATTCATTTGGTGTTAGGAGGAGTCTACGTTTGAATGACTTCCTCAGTTATTCATAATAATCTCATTTTCTCCAAATTAGTTACCTAATTTTTTTTTTTTGACAAAGCAAAAGGTTAAATGAAAGTTATTTTTCTTTTATTTTGTATTTTTTTCACTGGTCCAATTCAGTGAAGACTGTTTTCACATTTACATGAAGTGAGGTTTTGAACAGTGTGTGATGAGTTGATGTATCGTTTCACTTTTGACTTGGTTGCAGCTGAGGCAAGTGATGATTAATTTGGGAGAGAGATTGACAGAGGAGGAGGCTCAACAGATGATAAGAGAGGCAGATTTGGATGGTGATGGCCTTGTCAGTTATGAGGAATTTGCAAGGATGATGATGGCTTTCTAGCTAATCAGATAGTTGTATTCAAAAACTACATATACAACAACATTTCATCACATGTACATCTATATTTGACTTTGTTAGAATACCAAACTAACTTTTTTTTTTTCTTTTATTATGTTGGTTATTATATATAATTATCAAATAATTTTTTTTTATTCACTAGAAAATCCAACAGATCCAAATAATAAAATGCGTTGTTCTCTACTTATCTCAACAAATTAAATTGATGAAAATTCTTATAGTCGAAAGAATTTGAAATTGAAAATTTTCAGTTTCAACATTAAAAAAAAAATATCAATCACACCACGCTCAGTTAACTCAAATAAAGCTTTATTGAATTAATATAAAAATACGTCAAATTCATGGTAACATGTGTTTATTTTATATAAAAAATAATTTTATTTCCATGATTTTAAATCTCTGAATTAAAATAATTGTTTATTTTATATATAAAATTAAACAATTGTATTAACATTCCACGTACAGGCAATGGCTCACTTTTTAGTTTTACATTTAACATTCGGCTGCTTTTGACTAGCACATCCACAAAGACACCTAGAAGCCTTCTCAAGTAACAAAATGAGTAGGCCCAAAAGGCCGAAAACAAAACAATACAGTTAACGTTCTTTCATGTCGTTTGGGGAATTCAAATGCTATCTGCGCTTGAAACAACCAACAAGTGACAAAAGCCAGTCCGCGTAACCTGGTCGTTCTGTCGTTTATGTCGCAAATTTAAGTAAAATCGGCGCTTCAATTTCCTCAGCTCACTCAACATGGATTCCTCCATGCCCGAAAACCTCGATGAGTACTCAGCATCCACAACCACCATCAAATTCGATTACCCAATCCCTCTTCTCCGTGGCCCCATACTCGCCGGCCCATCCGACGATCCATCATCCGGTCCGTACGTTCTCGCTTTCAGAAACCCCCAATCCTGGGCCGCGGCCTACAAGATCTGTGAGTCCAGAATTATCGAGCAGTGCGAAGGCGGAGCAAGGATTGGTTGCGCCATAAGCGCGTCAGAGAAGTGTAAGCCTCCGTGGTGGCACAATTTGATTGGAAGGAAATTACCCGACTTGAAGGAGAGAGAGAGATGCGAGGAACGCGAAATGGAAGGCTGTTTGGCTGCAGCGAAAGAGAAGTGCGTGGGATTCGCTAAGGATAAGTGTTCAACGCCGTTCAGGGAGGCGAGAATTGCAGTTGGAGAAGGGGCGGTGGGGAAGAAGACGATGAGGAAATTAGTGTGTTTGGTATCAATGCCGCAGAGGAGCAAATGGGTTAGTTTGCTTGGGTTTAACAAGTGTGAGTTTGGAATTACAAATTGTAAGGCTAGTGAGTTACTGGGCCCTGATCCAAACTATGAATGATTTTTTAAGCATAAGGTAGTTGCAGAAGAAAGTAAAAGTGATGGTAGTAGCTATGGCCATTTTAAAGAGGTATGTCTTGTCAAACTTAACTTGTTATTTATGTAGAAAATCTTATTGATGCCAAGCATGCTGAAACGAAGAATGTTTAATTTTGATATTCGATGGCAGAGCTTCTTGGATTTGATTAATTGAATCAAAGTCTACCAGAAATTGGTTAAATTCTAGAAATTATGATGCTTAGAAGTCTCATTCTGCACATTAAAATTTTTTTGACCTGTTGGAGGTATTGGGTATATTATACTAATTAGGATTTCTATTTTCAAAAATAAAATTTAACATCCATATATTTTATGATCTTCCAATTATATGGTACTTTTACTAATTTGTTAATTTTTCAACTACAAAAAAGATGAAAAATGAGAAGTGAAAGAGTAATTTTTGAATATAAAATTACATTTCTTGGATTATTTTGACTTACTTTTAGTTGATTAGAAGAAAAAGTATACAAACTTTAACAGAAAGAATATATAGTTGGACAGTTACAAAGTAGAATAACCATTAAATTACTTTTTAGAGATAGAGGTCTTAGCTTTTGTAATATGCTGTAATACAAATACTTTGATAAATTATTCCAATCACCAATTTCAGTTTGGATGCTGTTATTTGCACTACGCTATTTTTCTTTTCTTATTATAATTTTTTGGAAAAATCTCTTGAATGAGTGAGTTTTTGCCTTTGGTTCTAATTTTTATTTTGATGCTTTAAGCCTTTAACCATTGATTGACAATAACTCAGTCAAACTGGCAAACAAAAGCTTTACCATCATACTATTTTGAGAAGTGCAGACAGATAATAGATTTGTCGTTTTGACACCATCTATACAGTTTTTGGGCATTATCTTCTGTCAAAACTGGGCCCATATTGCATTGCAGCCAACTAAAACAGCCTTGCGCCTTGTTATTTATCCAATTATTTCCATTCTGACTAGTTAGGTTTTGAATGTGCTATTCACATAAGCCTGAGAACCTACAAGCCCAACTCCTACAATTTTTCTGCTTAAAATTGCTGTGATCCCTTCCTTCATTATCCCGCAAGAGAAGCCCAAAGCATTCTGAAAAGAACATTTGTAAGGTAGGCAGTAGACTAGTCCTAGCGGTATCTTCTTTTGATGATTGAAGCTTGGTGTCAAAAATCAATTGCAACTGCAGTGTGGAGTGGGTTAGAATTGGAAGTTGACATTGTTGTATGAGTTAGTGAAGTCTACTCTAAACCAGTTGGACCGAGTTTTGCTAGATAATTATAAAATCAAAGTAAAAAATCCTATTTAAAAGTCAAAATCCGGTTGAACCGAGTCAACCTGGTCCAACCACGACCCAGTAATGATGCCGGTTCGATGTCTGGTCCGGTTTTTAAAACATATGATACAGACTCATTTATTTTCAATAAAAATATGAGTCTTTTATTTGGAATTACACCATCACACTTTGATATTTCAATTTATTTATTTATTTTTCTGAAGGCAAAATTTGGAGTTAAATACTCTGAATTTCTAAGAAAAAAATTATTCAATCCTTTTATATTGCACAGAAACGATACGGAAAACAACATTTAAAATATAAATTTACATGGGAAAAAAAGTATTTTACACAGGAAAATGAATACCGGAAAACAGTTCCGAAACGCGGAAACGTCCATATCTTGGAGTTTCCGTGCATCATAGATCCTTTATTTATTTTTTTGAACTATTTATGCCTTGTACTAACATTTATAAATAATTAAGTTCAATTTAGAAAGTCTACAATGGTGTGATATTACACATGTGATGACAAAAGAATTACATATGAATTGAATGGTCTTTTTATAATTTTATTCATTTTTAAATATTTTACATGAAAGTTCTTTATTCAATGCTTGCGTTGTGGTTGTTGATGTTGTGCAAGTGTTCACATGCTTAAACCTTCATAACTAATCAGAATGTTTATGAGATTAGTTCTGTTCTTGCTCATGGAATTTAACTTTAATCTTTAAATAAAAGCAGTCATCTTTAATTATATTTTTATAAGGTCAGTAGCTCACTGTTGTTGAATTCTGATAGAGATTTAATCAAATAAAAAATCTAGTTGAATTTGTATTGGAAAACAAATGATGATGTTTAAGTGATTATACTAAATTTTAACCATATAGATTAAGTGATTTTAGACTTTTCCTTTGTAGAGTGTGGTTATGAATAATTTAGATTAAGCTTAATTGGACATTAGACACCTCAGCATAGACTTTAAGTTATGGTCTTTAGAAAAATTGCATTGAAATTTCATTGCTGCTTATGTTTCCATTATTAAATTTAATTGACATGATTCTTTGATACAGAAACATTTAGCTTTTAGCTGATTTTCGTAGACAAAAAGCAGCCCATGTTCTTGGACAATTAGAGGAGTTTGTTAGCCCCTTTTACTGAAAACAGGGGCAGACAGAACAGGACCACCTTACCCTCGTGGGTGGGGCTCTGGCTGCCACAAATTTTTGAAAATACAATTGCCTGTCACAAATTCTACTGATATTTTTAAAAATACTATATGCAAATTAACTCTCAAATATTTAAAGTTTAGCTCTTTTTTTTTTTTTTTTTTTGTTTTACTGAAAAAGGGGCAGACAGAACAGGACCAAACCTTACCTCTCCGTGGGTGGGCTCTGGCTGCCACAAATTTTTGAAAATACAATTGCCTGTCAACAAATTCTACTGATATTTTTAAAAATACTATATGGCCAAATTAACTCTCAAATATTTAAAGTTTAGCTCTTTTTTTTTTTTTTTTTTTGAAACTTTTCCATTTTTTTTTTTTTTTTTTTTGACTTTTCATATTTATAATATAAACAAAGTTTAACACTACAATACCTCTCATATATCATATCAATGATGTCGATTTTTTCAAAAAGAATGACTGATTATTAAATTATTTGATGAGTTCAGAACTCAGAATGTAAAACCCGTGATCTTTGAAAGTGTCGTTGGAATTTTATGGATTGGGAAGGAGAAGTTTCAATGACGGCTATGACTTGTAAAATTTGTAATTTAGGAGCAAAAAGTGGGCGACTCCATTAATTTCTTTCCAGCACATTGTCGAAGACAAAGTTGATGGCGATGTGGTTGAAAGAGGAAACTTACAGGAAATTCTATCAATCGTCAATTCCAATAACTTGTTTTGCTCTGGAAAGTGATTTCATATATACTGTTTCAGTTTCGTAATATTTGTCATATTTAAAATTTCACGTCTTTTAAGAGAATTATTAAATTTGTCTAAATTATAATAAATTATTGAGTAAATTAACTTTATTACTTTTAATTTAATGTTAATGTTCTAATAACTATTAAATTGAAGTAATAAATTATTGATTATATACAAAAGGTAAACATGAAACAAAAATATTTATTACTCATTGAAACTATAAATGTGACATATTTTAAAATAAACTAATTTTTCAAATGTAACAAGTATTATGAAACGAAGGTAATAAATATATAATTTTAACACTGAGGGAGTGATACATAATTGTATATATTTATAAAATAAATGCCAAGAAAAGTGCGGATGTGATTGGGTGTGCTCCCTCTTTTTCATTTTAATAATATTTTACTTTTTCATAAAAATTAAAAAAATAATTTGAATATGTTGATTTTTTAAAAATACGTTATATAATGTCTAAGTGGCTTTTTTTTAAATTAAAATTCTCTATTTAATTTTACTATAAAATTAAATCTAATTTTATTTCATATTAAAGTATCGTACTTCCATTTTATTTTTTTTATGTTTTGATATGATGAAAAATTTTTAGTTTTATATATAATAAAAATTTTAATTTAACTATAATTAAAGTAATGATAAAAAATAAATGTAAAACTAAAAATAATTACACCTACAAAATATGGATAAAATTTAAAAATATATATTAATATACTCTCAAAATCTTGAATGATCACTTAAAATAAAATAAAGTAATTACTATTAAAGTGGAACGCAATAAGTAACTTTCTAAATTTTTAAAATTATTATCAAACAAAGAGCAATTGATAAAAATAAAAAAAAAATTATTTTTAGTCTGTAATATTAAGCGTGGGTTATTAAAATTGGGGATAAATAAGAAAAGAAAAGCGTAACAATCAATTTGACAGAACGAGTCTATTTTAAAAATATCAATCGATAATATTTCAAAATACACTAAAATCAGGACAATAATGTACTTCTAAAATCGGGAAAATTATTATTTCATCTCTGAGGTTTTACATAATTATTTAGGTTTTACATAATTATTTAAGTAGTTCTCGACATTTATACATATATTTATAACGTCCTTGAGGTTTGCCACCGTCATATTAATTGGTCCTTCAGTAAAAAAAATACACTTTTTCCATTAATTTTGAGAAGAAAAGACAAAATTATCCTTTGGAAAAATAATTATTTCGTCCTTGAGGTTTTTCATAATTATTAAGTAGTCCCCTACATTTATACAAATATTTATAACGTCCCTGGGGTTTACTTCTGTCATATTAATTAGTCCTTCCATGAAAAAAATACATTTTTCCGTTAATTTTGAGTGGAAAATACGAAATTATCCTTTATAAGTTTTCATTGACGCTGTTATTAATCATTTTCCTCTAAAATACCTGAAATTCACATTTTCACCATTTTTCTCAACCCAACGCGGTCTTCATTGCCACCACCATGTCAATGAAAACTATCATCTCCATAACCAGATCATCACCAAAACTAAAACTCAATCAAGCCATCATCACCCTTCATCCATTTATCTCCTTCTCCTTGATTAGAGGGTTTAGGTTAGTTTAGTCATTCTATTAAAAATTAACAGAAATTAACAGAAAAAGTGTTTTTTTGGACGGAAAGACCAAGTAATATGACGGAAGTAAACTCAGGGACGTTATAAATATTTATATAAATGGCGGGAACTACTTAAATAATTATGGCAAACCTCAGTGACGAAACAATTACTTTCCCTTTTAGTTTTGTTGGTGATCTGGTTATGAGGATGATACTTGACAGAGACACGGTGGTAGCAATGAAGACCGTGTTGGATTGAGAAAAATGGTGAAAATTTGAGTTTTCCACTCAAAATTAACGGAAAAAGTGTATTTTTTTTTTTATAAAAGGACTAATTAATGTGAAGGAAGTAAACCTCAGGTACGTTATAAATATGTATAAATGTCGGGCACTATTAATAATTATGGCAAACCTCAGGGACAAAATAATAATTTTCCCATAAATAAATAATAGTTATAGAATATACATAATGTATTTACAAAATGTTTATATAAAATTCTATAACATAGTCTTAACTTCAATCCATAAGGTTCCTTTTTATCAGGCCACATATACAAGATATATTTTTTTTTTATGTGATAGACACAGATTGAAATATTGTACAGACCCGAAGAACAGAGTAAAACCTCAGAACTAGAGACGTCTAATGAGAAAATATTGTATAAATAGATGAGAGCCGGGAATTCCACTTTTAATCTCAACTTTTATGGCAGAGAGTTTCCTCAAGGTGACGTATAGTAATTATTCTCTTTATTTCTCTCAAGAGGTATAGGTGGATAGTTTTTCCCCTTTTCTTATTCTCGAAAAAATCTTACGACTGGGAAAAAAGATGTAATTTTTTTTTTAGTAGACATAGGTATAATTACAATATTTGCACCGGCTGCGCAAAAAGCCTCTGATATGTGACGCATTTTATCCCAAAATCAGTTAGAGAATATAATGTACTCAGATTAGATCAGAGATATCCACTAAACTCTCTCTTTTTGAACTCAGAAAAGCAAGAAAAATGGGATTAGAGTTTTAGTGAAATAATATAACACCTTCTCACGAGAACTCGGTTCACATATAATTCATTTTCTCTCCTCAAATCATGGGCCTCCGACTTCATCGACAGCTTCGAGAAAGTAGTAAAACATCTCTACATTCTTTACATAATGCATAAAAACCAATACAGTGTGACCTCTCGGCATATCTCAAATTTATGTTCTCATACCACAAAATTGATACTGTTGCTTATCAGGTGGAATAAAAGAATGACTGATGGCAATCATCTCATTACTCAAAGCTGGTCGGTCCTCAATTCATTGAGAACAACACAGTTCTACAGTTTGGTGGTCGTTGGCGTCTCCGTCATTTTATTGTCATTTTTCTCTCCTCTTTTTGTGGATTAGTTGCATGGTCTAGTGTGCACTCCGGACTGAGGACTTAGCTCTACAAATTCCTCTCTAGAGCTTCGTGCATCTAAATACGTCGTGCTGTGCAAGAGTAGTACCGGAAGCTCTCAATAACGACTGACAGAAACATACTAATTTTCGACAAACCAGCGCGTGTTATGTTCTCGGTACCTGTGTCTTTCTACCTCACTTTGAACAAATAATATCTAAATTGTGCTGAAAAACGCTCTACCCATCTCGAGCTAACACTTTATTTCATCTCTATGAATTCACAGTAATAAATTACCTTTATGAGACATTATAATATACACGCAAAGATCACTCAACAAACAAAGGATAATAAAAAGTTAATATATTTTCAAGATTTATAAGTCCTAAATATTAATGTCTAAACTATCGCACTTTAAAGTGTGAATATAAACACTAGTAAATATTAATATACAAATTTAATTTTTCGTGAAGGAGAGTTAGTGTTTTATTGTTATTTGAGATATTAAAATAAGAGATGAAATAAAAGAAAAACAAAATAAATAACAGAACAGTAGAAAAATTATAACAATCAAAACAAAAGAGATAAAAACAATCGAACACAAATTGAATATCAAATAAAAAAATAAGTAAATTCACATAGAAAAGAAAAATAATAAGTAAAATCACCAATGAGAAAAAACAAAAAAAAAAAAAAAAAAAAAAAAGAATAAAAAAACAACATTTCAAATAAAAACATACCAATAAAATGAGAAATAAATAGAGAAAGAACGCACTCTTTGTTATGACTAACATACATACATAATCATATATTAAAAATATAAGAGACAAAATAATGTTTTTATATTTATATTCCAATATCGGTGAAACATAGTGAAAAATCTCTGGTCAACAAACAACCAGAATGAATAAAATATGAGAGGAATAATAAGAAAAATAGAAAATAAGAAATAACTATATATTAAAAAATAAATGAGATTAAAAATAAGAAAAACAATGAGATGAAAGTTTAAAATTAACACTGAAAAAAAAAAAAAAAGATAAGAAATAAAAAATATATCCTAAGTTACTATGTGACAAATTATATCATTCGACTTATTTTTTAATAATCTCTTTAATAATACATTAACAAGAGTAAAAGCACGTATGCATCTGTGTATCTATAATAAAACTAATGTTTACAAACATCCCAAAGAGACTCGAATTATTACTATTTGTGCACAAAGATATTACGTATTTATGAGTAACCTATATTGTGTTTGGGTTATTGGTTAAAGCATTTGCTCCTAAATGATACCGCACACATATATAGGTGAAATGAGACTCTTCTTAATTTACAATATATTGACTCTCGTAATCTTCATTTATGTGTGGAAAACAGTTCACTAATATAGAGAGGTTAGAAGTTGGAAGGTTAATTAAAAAGTGACTACTCAGTTTCTCTCTTAATTTCTAGCTTTTAAAGGAAGGTGAATAGGAAATAGATAAAGTGTGTGACGTTTTTAGTATATATAATATTGAGACTTTTTTCAACCTTTTTTTCGCATATATATATAATACATACGAACAATAAGAAACTCTCGTAGGTGTAATTAAGAGAGTCTTATATAGATGATGTGGATTGTTAATTTCACATAAGATTGAATACGATGCTACACAGAGTATATTTATATTTCAAATTTATAAAATTACTATCAAAAAAATTAATACATATATGGTGAAAATGCTATTTTCTATATTAGTAATCTCGGTTCTGGTTACAGAGAGCGGACACTAGGTGACTCAGTGATCCACCTTTGACGTGACGGTGAGTACAAGAATGGTGCTCCATGTAATATTTATCTGGTCTTCTTTTCTAACCTCTCTATGTCATATGGTGTTTATCCTTTCACATTATCTCTGTACCCTAGATATTATGCTATTATTTTTACGCCGCGCCATCTCTTCTTCATGGCAATCTGTTATAATGACATACGAAGAATATGGGTCTAGGTGAAAATGAATCTCAAATAAACCAAATATTATTATTGAGGACATATATCAATTAATAATAATAAAATATATAATAATAATAGGAATAGAGAACTAACTGTCATAAGTCTCAAATACTGTTAATACCGCAAGATTAATTTAGTAATTATTTCTCAATAATGTATATCGAATGAATATCTGTATATCATGTGTCTCAAGCTGAAATTGTATATAAGTATGTTTACTAAATTACCGCATAAGCCTCAATCTGAAAACGTCGTATATGACGCTTCGCCTCTCCAAGACTTATTCTCCGTTATCTCTCTTCGTAGTTCCTCGTCAGTCTCGTTTTCAACTCTATTTACAGTACACTCTCCATGCGTAAAAAAAAAAAAAAAAAAAAAAAAAAAGGAAAAAACCCAACTTTCAAGCAATCTGTAAACCGCAAGTTATAGTATTACAATAATGTAATAGAGTAAATTTGTGATCTTTCAAGCTGAAAATAAATAAATAAATTTTCTAAACGCAAGTCAACTTGAAAACGCGTTTGCCCGCCTCTCCAGCTTCCCGTTTCCTTCTTCTGTCCACGTCAGTCGTTTTCATCTATTCATACACATCGACTATTACGCGGCAAAAAAACTGGCCATAGAAATCTTTCAAATGTTCAACGAATCTAGTACTAAATACTGTACGGAAATTTACTTATTTAAACTGAATTTACAGTATATTAATGAATCAAATTAATTAAAATGAAAATATTTTTTATTATACACAGGAAAAAGATAAAATAAAAATATTTTTAAAAAATTTATATTTTTATTATTTGATCTATAAATGAACGAACCGTAAGTATTCTCTGTTGTAGTAATTTGCTGTTAGAAAGAGAAAGAAAAAGAACAAGAAAACAAACATTTCCTGCTTAGTCATCGTCTCTGGCAAATAAGTGCCCTGAATTCCAATTGCAACAATAAAAGAAAAGAGAATTTTTAAATAAATAAATAAATAAAATAAAACCTGTACCGACTTAGTTCTTCTATAAAACCCTTCTTGCTAAGTTCATATAGAAATGAAATTCTAAACCAGTGCTTTCTTCTCTTACTAAGAAATTAATAGTATTTCTTCTCAGCAATTTCCAAAAATGGCAAGCTTTAATCGCTCTCATTTTGATTGCAGCAAATTGCTTACCAATACCCTCAACAAAGCTCAAAAAAGATGGCGTATTGCCTATTTAACAATTTATTCTGCCCGTGCAATGCTTTCTCTTGTAAGAGAGATAATTAAAATAGAAAGAAACAGTTATCATCACTCAGGTATTCTTCACAACGTTTCCTATACAGTATTAGATGTAGAGCCACCAATCAAATCCCATAAACATGTGGCGTCAAGTTCCTTCACTCCTGATATTGATAAGAAAAAACTTAGCCAACTGGTAAAAGAGAGAGAGACTGAAACTCTCCATCAATTTGGGGGAGTTGAAGGTGTTGCCACCGCTCTTGGGACAAACACAGAACAAGGAATCAATGGCGATGACCGTGATGTTACTTCACGGCGTGATATGTTCGGTTCTAATACCTACAATAAACCTCCTCCAAAAGGGTTTTTATTTTTTGTTCTTGATGCATTTAAAGATACTACTATTCTTATACTCCTTGTTTGTGCTGGGCTTGCTCTTGGTTTTGGCATCAAAGAGCATGGAGCAGAAGAAGGTTGGTATGAAGGAGGAAGCATTTTTGTTGCTGTTTTTCTAGTCGTTGTTGTCTCTGCTCTTAGTAACTTTAGGCAAGAGACACAATTTGATAAGCTATCGAAAATAAGTAGCAATATCAAAATTGAGGTGCTTAGAAATGGACACAGACAACAAATCTCCATATTTGATATTGTAGTTGGAGATGTTGTTTACCTGAAAATTGGAGATCAAATTGCAGCTGATGGCTTATTCTTGGAGGGTCATTCCTTACAAGTCGATGAGTCGAGCATGACTGGAGAGAGTGAACATGTGGAAGTAAATTCCACCACGAATCCCTTCTTGCTTTCTGGTTCAAAAGTTGCAGATGGATACGCTTTAATGCTCGTTACATCTGTTGGAATGAATACAGCTTGGGGTGAAATGATGAGCTCAATTACTCGCGATTCCAATGACCGAACACCCTTACAAGCTAGGCTAGATAAACTAACCTCTTCTATTGGGAAGGTTGGCCTTTCAGTTGCTTTTCTAGTTCTTGTAGTCATGTTAATTAGGTATTTCACTGGAAATACAAAAAATGAAAATGGGCTTACAGAATTCAAACGAGGTGAAACAGGTACGAGTGATGTGTTAAATGCTGTTGTAAGCATTGTAGCTGCTGCAGTCACTATTGTGGTTGTAGCAATTCCAGAAGGTTTGCCATTAGCAGTCACACTAACACTAGCTTACTCTATGAAGAGAATGATGAAAGACCAAGCCATGGTTAGAAAGCTTTCAGCTTGTGAAACCATGGGCTCGGCCACAGTTATTTGCACTGACAAAACTGGCACTTTGACATTGAATCAGATGCAAGTGACCGAGTTTTGGCTTGGTCAAGAATCTATTGATGAAGCTTCTTACAAAGGAATTGCTCCAACAATTCTTGAATTGTTCCACCAAGGAGTCGGTTTAAACACAACAGGTAGTGTCTACAAACCAGCATCAGGATCTGTACCAGAGTTTTCAGGTAGTCCAACTGAAAAGGCAATTCTCTCATGGGCTGTTTCTGAGCTGGGTATGGATATGGAAAGAGTGAAGCAAAGTTATAAAATTCTCCATGTTGAAACCTTTAATTCAGAGAAGAAACGAAGTGGGGTTTCAATTAGGAAATTGGAGGACAACACTATTCATGTACACTGGAAAGGAGCAGCTGAGATGATACTAGCAATGTGTTCAGATTATTATGAGAGCAGTGGGATGGTAAAATCTATGGATGAAGGTGAAAGAAGTAAAATTGAGAGAATAATCCAAGGCATGGCGGCTAGCAGCCTCAGATGCATTGCTTTCGCTCACAAGAAAATTACAGGGGAAGAAATGAAGGATGAAAAAGATGAAAATTCACGCCAGAGGGTAAAAGAAGATGGCTTGATCTTGGTAGGAATAATTGGTCTCAAAGATCCATGTCGACCTGGAGCCAAGAAAGCTGTGGAAATTTGCAAGTCTGCTGGAGTAAGCATTAAAATGATAACCGGCGATAATGTTTTCACAGCAAAAGCCATAGCTACAGAATGTGGCATACTGGAGCAAAATCACCAAGTAGACAGCGGAGTAGTGGTAGAAGGTGTTGAATTTCGCAACTACACACATGAGCAGAGAATGGCAATGGTTGATAAGATATGCGTAATGGCAAGGTCATCGCCCTTCGACAAACTTCTAATGGTACAATGCTTGAAACAAAAAGGAGAGGTTGTTGCAGTAACAGGAGATGGTACAAATGATGCACCTGCATTAAAAGAAGCTGATATAGGATTGTCTATGGGAATTCAAGGCACAGAGGTTGCAAAGGAGAGCTCAGATATCGTCATTTTGGATGATAATTTTACGACTGCGGCCACGGTGTTAAGATGGGGACGATGTGTCTATAACAACATCCAGAAATTCATCCAGTTTCAACTAACTGTCAATGTTGCAGCTCTTGTAATCAACTTCATCGCAGCAGTTTCTGCCGGAGAGGTTCCCTTAACAGCAGTACAATTGCTATGGGTAAACCTGATCATGGACACGCTTGGAGCTCTAGCCCTAGCTACAGAAAGGCCTACTGATGAGCTAATGCAAAGGCAACCAGTAGGCCGTACGGAGCCTCTCATAACAAATATAATGTGGAGAAACCTTCTAGCTCAAGCTCTATACCAGATAGCAATCCTCTTGACTTTACAATTCAAAGGCGAGTCCATATTTAATGTGAGTCCAGAGGTAAATGATACAATTATATTCAATACGTTTGTGTTTTGCCAAGTATTCAATGAATTCAACGCAAGGAATCTGGAAAAGCAGAACGTATTCAAAGGCATTCACAAGAATCATCTATTTCTAGGAATTGTGGCCATTACTATAATTCTTCAGTTTGTGATGGTGGAGTTCCTAAAAAAGTTTGCTAGTACAGAAAGATTGAATTTGCTACAATGGGCAGTCTGTGTTCTAATCGCAGCTGTATCATGGCCAATCGGTTGGTTTGTGAAACTCATACCGGTACCTGAAACACCCTTGTTCAGCTATCTGAAGAGACCAATATCAAGCTTCAAACTGGCCTTCCATAGAAAATCCTCTTCCTCAAGGCCTAGAACTAAGTGCGAGAGAGTCTAAAAGAATTTGGAATAGCTCAAAGAATCTGGAATTCATTCTCTTCCACAAAAGAAACAACCGGTGATCCAGCCAGAAGAGTTGATGCACCATATTCAAAACTCACAAGCATCTGCCTTGGCATGATCTAACGAATCTGGAACTCGATTGAACAAAAAAGGTTAAGTCTTGTGAAACCGTAGCGTTGGCGAAAGCCGGGGGTTCTTCCTGGAGTCCTGTCATGATCGGTCACAGCTGCCCTGCCCGTATGGTTGCTAACTAATTACTTATCAAGAATTTGTCAGTGTCTCGATAGACAAATTCTTTTTTGTACTTTTTAGATTAGAGTAAGAGTCTACCGTAGAGTTTCCTTATGCATCTATGTACTGTACACAATTCGTATAAAAAAAATAATCTTGTATTCCGATCTTCGTTTATATATATATATATATATATATATATAATGGAGTTCCTGTCATGATACAGGTCCACAGACTGCCTCTTTGTTCCGTAATGGTTGCTAACTATTACTTATCAAGAATTTTGTCTTAGTTTGTCTCGATAGACAAATTCTTTATTTTGTACTTTTTAGAATTGGAGTAAGGAGTCTACCGTAGAGTTTCCTTATGCATCTAATGTACTGTACACAATTTCGGTATAAAAAATAATCTTGTATTCCGATCTTCGTTTATATATATATAAATAATATATATATATAAATTGGAAATTAGGCCTGCATTAACTCAATAAGCTCAATATATATATATATATATATATGGAAATTAGCCTGCATTAACTCATAAGCTCATAAAAAAGTTGTAAAATGTGATCGCCAGAGCAATTATTAGAATCTATAAGCTCATAAAAAAGTTGTAAAATGTGATCGCCAGAGCAATTATTAGAATCTACGGTTGTGTAAAGCAATTATGAATATAACAGGCTGAACATGTAGAAATAATTTTTTCGAATTTAATTTCCGCTAAACACACCAACAGACTGAGCTAAACACAACTACAGATGAAATTAAACGGGCATGATGATAGGATTTTGATAATGATGATCTCAAAAAAATAAAAAAGCAATTATTAGAAAACGATGCCGTTGTTATGCGTCTATATGTAAGATGAATTGGGCCTGTTTAAAATTACTCGCGTAATGCTTTGATGGCCTGTAAAAGGAATCCAATAAAAGAGACAAAATGGAAAAGCCCATTTTTCTATCTCTAATTAACTGATTTTGATTAAACTAAAATCCCTCAATTAGGAATAAGACAAGTGTTAATGTATTCGTTTAATTCACCAAATAACATCACCTTAGATTCAATAAGATTCCTATGAATAAACAAAAATATCTTCTTCAAACACAATATTATTTACAACCACTTTTGCTCTTTATCTTTTTGCACTTTTCCTAGTTTATTTCATGCTAGTATTAATTAATTAAGTAATTTATAATAAGCAGGATTAAATTAATTAGCCTGCATCAAAACCGATATATTATTACATTATGATACTCCACAAAACTATGGTTCAAGGCCAATAAAAACTTTATTCTTAGATGAAAAAAAAAGGAAAAATAAAAATAGAATGCATGAAACATAGGATGTGAGATATCTAAAAAGCAACAACCATGAGAAATTCTGCCTCTAAAAACCCTAGCATTGATCTTTCCCTCACCATATCCTAATTATTCATTTGTTTTATTTTTCAATTTTATTATCCATATGAAGTCTTCAAGAAACAATCTTTACCCATATTGTTTAAAACATACACCTAATTAATGATAATGCCAAAAAATTCTATATATAATATATAAATTACATGGACATACGGTACTTGAATATGAAAATTATATCATCCTCCAGTATATGGGATAAGAAGAAAAACAAAATACAAAAAATAAGAAATAGAAGGAGAAGTAGAAAAGAAGCAAATGAATAGAATTGAATTGAACAAACCTTGTTAACAAATGACGAATGGAAAGAAAAAGAACACAGACATGTGACTCTAAGTAATAAATATAAATAGGGTTTTGCCGTGAAGCCATCAACAGGTGAAGCTACCACATGATCTGATCTTGCCTTCCGACGACGACGGAGGAGGAGAAAGGAAGATTAGATCATGCTGGCAGCTTCAACTGCTAGTGGTGCACGATGAATCCATTAGATTAGATCCATAATTGAGAGATAGAGAGAGAGAGAGAGAGAGAGGGAGATTTGCTAATTTTAGTAAATGGGTTAATTAGGCATGTTAATGGAAGAGAGAGTGCGCGATAGCTTATATAGAAGAGAGAAGTGCGCGATAAGCTATATATAAAATATAATATATAATATATATATATATTATATATTAGATAATATGAAGAAAACAGATATAGATATATGAAGAAACAGAGAGAGAGAGAGAGAGAGATTGGGGTGGTCTGTTCTGTGATAAGTTGTTGTTTGTTGGTTATATATAAAGAAAAAACGAAAGAGAAAGGAAAAATAGGGAGGAAGAAGAAAGAAGAGAATAGATGGCAGTGGTCCAGAGCAAAGACAAAATGAATATTATCATGCCCACGCCACCACCATGCAGACAAGGTAGCGAGTTCTTCCAAAATCTAACCCCCTTTTTCTTTTATTTTTATATTTTTTATAAATATCCTCAAATTGAACCTAAAAAAGAGTGCTGCTATTTTACAATGGCCCCCCCATTTCTATTTCTCCTTTTACGCAATGCCTAAAAATTACTCGTTTCATAATTTAACTCCTCAATTTTAATAAACAAATCTTATCAAATTTTATATTTTAAATCTTATCAAATTATTTAATTTATCAAATTTTCCAAAATTAAGTTTCATAAAATTTTCATAAAAAAAGTGTAAGAGTATAAATATGTACTGAGCCACAAAAAAAAAAAAAAAAAAAAAAAAAAAAAAATCAACCAAAGTTCATTATCCATTCTAACCTAGCCCCAATAATATCAAAAAAAAAAAAAAAAAAAAATCAACAAAATTCTCATTATCATTGATAACCTAGCCCCAAAATCATCTAACTGTGCATGATTCAACCTTTGCCTGTCTAACTCCTCCACTTTCTTTCCCCTAGTCCTATCTATGACAGGAGAAAGAAAAAAAAAAGATAGAGAAAAGGTATTGGAAGAAGAACACTACTTATTGCTGGGGTGTTTGGAATGTGCATGCATGTTACCAATCCCATGTCTCATAAACATAATCCATTGGAAATGTATTATATATTGAATTAATCAAATTAGCTATTTTCTAATTTTAAAAATCATTCGAATAATCAATAAGTGAAAATGATTATAATTTACCTTTGACTAGACTGATATGACATGAATATGATTTAGCTCTAAAAAATAAATGTTATTAAAAAAAGATATAATTGATTACAACTTACAAATAAAATCTGAAATCTAAAATCTTTATTAGGATTCGTTTTTAGGAAGATGAACATAAGGATTCCTTTCTTTTTGCTACAGTGACGATGTAAATTCTTTCTTTATTTGAAACCAACATTTTATATTAATATACAGACATTTGTCAGAGATTGTTGGTCTTTGCATCTGCTTTGTGTCAACCATATATTTAAAGCGATGTTTAATTACATTAAATAATTAAATAAAAGTTTAGCTGTCTTAATCACTAACCAGTAAAGTGAAACTATATTCTTGAATATATATATATATATTGCCAATAATCGATTGATTGGGACTCCACAAAATGATTTAATCAGAAAGAACTTTTATCCATTCTGTTCTCATTTTTTGAAGTTAACAAATGATTATGTCATTCTGTTTCTTTCAGCTTGTTTTTATCTCTTTGGTAGGTTTATGCAGATGGAACCAGCAGCTTCATGATAAGTCATCCTCAACATATCATCATATCCAAACTATCAGTGGAAAAGAGTCTAAATACAGTGGAAAAGAGCCTAAATACATAAATGCATTCCTGCAATTTTAATAAAACATAATTTATTACACTTCTTTCACCTTTTAAATGCTTCCATTTAAAAACTAAACATATTAAAGATTTTGTTTAGCTTATTAAATAACTTGATTTATAAAATTAAATCAATCAAATATTTATCTATTAATAATAATATAAATTTTATTATTTATATTAATCACGCATTAAATTAATATTTTATATATAAAAATCTTTAAATTATTGTTTTAAATGCAAGGCGTGACATAAATTGAAAGATACCACAGGCGGGTGTCATAAAATTTATAAAAAATTCAAAGACTATATCATGCATCATGGAAAACATAGTATTCTAAAAAAATAAGTTATATTTGGTTTCATAAATTCATGATTAACGTGTTGATTTAACCATAAACATTCTTTAATCAGAACAAATCATTTTTCCTGTACTTCCAGATTACAATAAACAGTTAATTTATCCATATATTGCTGTGATTATGACTTAATTTGAAAGTAATTGGAAATATCAAATAGAATATTTTTCACATTCTAACTAAAACTATTTTTATAAAAAATTATTTAAAAATCTGTTGTAGTTTTGAAATATTATTTTTAATTATTTTTCCGATTAATATTAATAGATAAAATTCACTTAACAAATCTTTAAATGATATTTAATTAACATTTTTAATGTGATTGCTTTAATTATTAGCTAGCTAGGCAGATTAATCATGCCATGGAATCCTCCAATAGTTGGATTCCATCCGTCACACTTAATTAAGAAGAATCAATGTATGTAACTTCCACTTTTATTTGGGTATTATCTAAATCAACAATAACACCTTCCAATCAATTTGGAACATTGTCTATCCTTAAAGCAAAAGTAAAACTAAATATAAAAAAATAAAAAGAAATTAACCATTTTCCCATTATTACAAAAGGATCTAAAAAAAATTGTTGTTCACATGAGAATTACGTTATTTTGTGCCAAAAATTTACGAGAAAAGCACAAAAAGGTCTATATACATAGAATACAATCATTGTACTTTGGTATTAACACATGCATTCCCATTTGTTTAATTTGGATTAAATAATCTCTAATATTTACAAAAAAGGCTTTCACTATATATACATATATATAGACATGCAAGACATTATTATTTGCAATAGAAGAAAATAACATTAATCTCATAATTGATTTCTATACTACAACAACTTTAAAGTAGTCATATAGGCATAAAAACCAGTCCCAAAACGCCATGTTTATTTAAAAAACGACTGACTTGGAAACTGGCAAACTGCTATTCCTCTATACAACAATGAAAGAAATGGCTAATCTACATTTGTATTACAGTAGAAACAAACTAGCATTAGGTGAAGGCAGAAATGCTATTATTCAAAAAATAACTAAAGGGAAAAAACAAAGGTAGAAGAAAAGGTATAAAAGAGTCCTTGAAGACCCTTCAAATTCGTAACCATATGATTTCATGTGTCATACTATAAA